ACCAACAAGGTCATACGGCCACAGACATTCATGATGTATGGAACCATTCCATAAATTGGTTCAAACTCGTTTCCTTGGAAGGACGATCAAACACGAGATCCAGTGGTATTGGTAGCCATGAGTTCGGAATGAACTTGATTAATAACTCACTTTCAGTGACAGGTACAGTTATTTCGCATTCTGCACCTGGTGATCTGTGTGGAAATATAGGTCATGCTATCATAATAAATGTAATTAATTAATAAATAATAACATCGTGATTAATAATTCATCACTGCATCGATTCAGACCTGTAAGAAACTCTGCTTTAAAAAAACCAACAACCTTTCTGCATCGATCCCTATATTTTATTAGTTTATACTGATTGGAAGATAAAACGTAGGTATAGAATGACTAACATTTTTGCTTAGTGACGTGAAATTCACATTTGACATGATGGCGTCTTATTAACATAAACGCTTGCAGGGGTTCAAAAATCCCATCGCCCGATACCCGGGACAAGTCAGTTTTCATTTCGGGCAATCAAATAATGGTATCTTACTTGTCCGTGGGCTACTAGATAATTTTCACTTATGGTGTCAAACTGCAAATTAACTTGAATTTAATTTCATATCTGCTCAAAATGTAGCTATTAAATTTGGCAATGATATATTTCTTTAATGTTTATCACTTTTCAATAAATAGTCCAGTAAACATCAACATCAAATATTATGTTGATTTATTCTTTCATAATTACATCATCATGATTATTTCATAAAATCAGGGCAAGTGGAAAATTAGTCCGGACAGCCCTGTGGCAAGTGACTTTTTAAAAAAAATTGTGAACCCCTGGCTTGTTGACTAGTACGTCAAATCGTATCGTAAGTCAAAATCGTGTTATATATGCTCTTCTCAAAGTTGTGGACAGTGTATGTGTGATTGCGTACGTATGCGTGCGTGAGTGCGTGCGTTCGTGCGCGCGTGTGGCTGCTTGTTCTAGTCCCTACTTCTTACCAACGTTATAGTTTCATCCCACAGAGATACCCATTTAACACGGGTACCCCACTTAGTATATTCATACCAAACCGACGAACCCGTGAAGATCCGGGTTAGAATTGGTCTTCACCAACCCATGCTCGTACGAGGCGACTAACGCGATCGAGACGTCAAGCTTGCTGACTTGGTCGACACATGTCATCGTATCCCAATTGCGTAGATCGATGGTCCTGCTGTTGATCACTGGAATGTCTGGTCCAGTCTGGATTATTTACAGACCGCCGCCATATAGCTGGAATATTGCTGAGTGCGGCGTTAAACAACAAACAAAGACACCAATTCGACCAGCTCTTCTTCTATTCCAGTAATGACACCAGAAGCATCAGGGTAACTAGTACCAACAATATCCACTATAACAGAGACTGTTTTCTTTCTCAAAGCGAACATACAGCTTCTATTGGTAATAAATAGAGGATATTATGTGAGTGCCCATGTCATACTATGTTTACGACACGAGTGCCTAAATGTTGGTATTTCCCGAGCGAGAGCGAGGGATATACCGATATTTAGGTACGAGTGTCGTAAACATTGTATGATATGGGCACTCATATAATATTGTGTTTAGTACCGAAGTCGTCAAATTGAGGAAAATAACCCAAATCTACTTTCAAACATAGGCTGTCTACCCGCCGTCGCCGCATGTAGAACGCAACGTCACAGAAGAAACGTGACGTAATAATATTGTTCATGACGTCACGTCACCATGACAAAGTGATATTTTGCCCTGGGGCATCGTATGAAAATATGAACCCCGATATGTTCGCCCTCGTAGGTAATAATTGTTCTTATTACCCACGTGGTCAACGTATGGGTAGTTGCATAGCAATCTCGTACGTCACACGAGTGTCGTATCCCTTTGACCTGTGTCGTAACGACTTGACCTGAGATTATAACGATTTGATTGGATAACCGATGACCTCTCAATTAGGTCACATTCTGACGTAACTATTTTTTCATTCTTAACAAACACGTGACTTCATTCATTCTACAACTTAAATGCATTGTGGGAATGTAAACATTGCGAACGTTGCCGTGTCGCTGTTTAATTGTGAGTCGAACTGAGACATTATATCCGTTGAAAAACATAAACGCAATGTTTCCACCAGTGATGTTAGCCGAAAGAAGCAACTGCAAACCAAGAAACGGGGTGCTACGGAGTAGTTTACTGTAGGAGGCTGTACGAGGCGATGACAACTGACATGCATCGTGATGTCGGTTACCAAGGCAGTGACGTCATTACAGTGTGACGTCATGCAAATATTGTACTACAGTACAAAACTCTTCCGCAACCTCTTTATGAAACCGGTTTCGGTTTGAAACCACAAAATAACAAAAATACGCTATTGTGTCAATTTAATGCATGTAAGACGTTGGTAATAAATAAAATACCACACTCGGTCTCATTACATACGAATTATACGAAACTCGTGACCTTCCCATGTTATATGACCTCGCTTTCGCTCGGTCAGATACCATAGGAAGGGCACTCGTTTCGTATAATTCGTATGTAATGAGACCTCGTGTAGTATTCTCTATTTATTATTACTGTTGTCCTATTATCATGATTATTACTGTCTGCTCAATATATGCTTATCTGTAGTTCGCGTGTCGGCAATAATTTCTTTCCTCTACCTGAGATAACAAATACGCGGGTATTCCCATCATGCGTGCATTAATGGAGTCATTATATCAAAGAAGACATAAATTTCTAAGGTGCTCAACACAGGATCATACAATCAATAGAATGTATCTGTTTATGTGCATGACTTAAGGTAAATAGTATGTGCTTAACTCGTGTGAGTTTTGATAATTAAATATCTATACCAGATACTATTCTCCTAACAACTCCACCCAGTCAGGCGAAACGACCGTTTACCGTCAGTCATCAATAATAAAAGTGGCCTTGGGTGATGTTATTCCTGTTACCATGGTAACCAGAATCTACTTATGATATATATGGCGATACTCGTAGATATACAGTCCCACTACATCCTGACCAGGTAGAAGGTTTATCATTCTATTGTTCCGATTAATTCGAATGTTCAAGTTATCTCGACGTTCCAGGTTGTCAGTTGAGCCTCGTGTCACAAACCAGTCGTAGCTCTACGACAACTGTAACTCCATTACGCTACGATCGCGTTGTCTTACGACTTTCTGAGCCCATGGTTATAGTATGGGTGATAAAGATCGTTATTGTGTTAAGATCGCTTTGTGAAAAGAGGCCCACGACTATCGTAAGCCCATGGTAAAGTATGATCGTTATAGCGTTACGATCGCTTTGTGAAACGAGGCCAACGGCTATCGTAAGCCCATGGTAAAATATGATCGTTATAGCGTTACGGTCGCTTTGTGAAACGAGGCCAACGACTATCGTAAGCCCATGGTATAGTATGGGTGTAAATATCGTTATAGCGTTACGGTCGATCGAATCTAAGTAAGGGCCCTGCAATCTGTCCACAATCTGTTGTCTGTTGATAGTCAGTGGTGAGACGTTGTAGGTTGTACATCTTTCGGGGTTATAAGTCCACAATCTGTTTGTTTGTCTCTTCATAGTCAATGGTGAGAACGTTGTAGGTTGTACAGATCTATCGGGGCCAGATGTCCACAATCTGTTGTCTGTTTATAGTCAATGGTGAGACGTAGGTTGTATATCTATCGGGGCAAGATGTCCACAATCTGTTGTCTGTTTATAGTCAATGGTGAGATGTTGTAGGTTGTACATCTAACAGGGCCAGAAGTCTACAATCTGTTGTCTGTTTATAGTCAATGGTGAGACGTTGTAGGTTGTACATCTTTCGGGGCCAGAAGTCTACAATCTGTTGTCTGTTTATAGTCAATGGTGAGACGTTGTAGGTTGTACATCTTTCGGGGCCAGAAGTCTACAATCTGTTGTCTGTTTATAGTCAATGGTGAGACGTTGTAGGTTGTACATCTTTCGGGGCCAGATGTCCACTTGGTAACAATTTTTAACTTCCTGCCACTGTACTGTTAAATTTCAAAGACAAACCACGTCAGCCATTGTGCTGACAGATGCGACAACAGCGTTGACAACATGGAGTAGTGTTTGAAGAACTTGACATGATTCACCATTATTAACCGATCGGTCTACCCGTGTCTGCAGCTGAAGCCAAGTTTTAGTAATTTGCTGCCGAATTTTGTGTCGTTATCTTTTTATTCTGTACTAATTAAAACTACGTTGTCGCGACCCTTAATCGTCGGGTAAAAACGCGACCGTCTGATAAACGAGGGTCCATCTTGCACCTTGCATTTTAAGTGTGCCAATGACATTGCTGATATTGGGTTCGTTGGTTGTATAACGCAGCACTCAGCAATATTCCAGCTATATGGCGACCGTCTGTACATAATCGAATCTAGATCAGGCAATCCAGTGATCAACATTATGAACATCAATCTACGCAACTGGGGTACGATGACATGTGTCAACCAAGTCAGCGAGCCGGACCACTCGATCCCGTTAGTCGCCTCTTGCGACAAGCATGGGTTACTGAAGATCAATTCTAACCCGGATCTTCACGGGTATGTTGATATTGAAAAAGTTAGAGAGTAGTGCGCTCGTGACTTTAGTATGCGAGTGTTAGACGTCGGGGGTCGGGGTCGGTTGTCGGGTTTCGGGGTCGGGGTGGGGAGGTGTACCAGTTGACGACCACATTACTGTAAATCATAATACTCTTAAGCTTCCTACGTAACTCATAATTACCAGCATATATTCCTTAATATGTTAATCCCTTCTTACCTGGTCACAATACAGTTGATTGGGTCACTACCTGTGATCGGCCCTGGGAACATGGCCAGATTCACTTACAGCCACTTGGAGCTCGTCAGCGATAAGCGGATAATGTGTAACGAACGGATCAACGCTAGGAAGGATCTGGTTCTGCCAGTGATGGTCACTAGTCATGGCTCGATTCTGCTCTCTCGGTCAGTTGAATTTGGTTTCATTTCAGAGCGAGACAGTCAGAAGTCGTAAAGGAAGTCGCGGAGAAATGGAGACAAAGTCGAAATGGGAGTCGCTGGTGGATGTAGCGGGAAGTGTGAGTACTATCGGGAGATTCGTTTCTGTTGTCACTATCAACGGCTTGCCACTTTGCCCATCTCCTTCTTTAGAAAATCAGAATTCGTCTGAAAGTTGTTGGCTCTACCAATATGTACAGAAATCCACAAAAGAATGACTCAACACACAGTGTCCTCCCTACATATTTCAACACACAATGTCCCATCTACATATTTCAACACACAATGTCCTCCCTACATATTTCAACACACAATGTCCTATCTACATATTTCAACACACAATGTCCCATCTACATATTTCAACACACAATGTCCTCCTACATATTTCAACACACAATGTCCCATCTACATATTTCAACACACAATGTCCCATCTACATATTTCAACACACAATGTCCTCCCTACATATTTCAACTGAAGATGAAGTTGAAAACCGTAAGAGTGAAATTCATGTTGTGTCATCATTTTGTGGACTTCTTCATCTGCCACTGTACACTGCTTAACTTCTCTCATTTATATCAACAATTCACGTCAATTAACATCACGAAATACAACAATGCCAACAATATTAACATCACGCCAAAATTACTCTAAAAGGACCATAATCATTGGTAAAATAGCTTAAAAAATACGATATCAATTTCTATTTGTTTTCTTTTTTCTCATTTTCATTCCTTTGTTTTCGTCGTTTAACACTTTTTAAAAATATGAAACATATTATGGACCATTCCACACCATTGTATGGTGTCTTGGTTTTGCTGCCATTCTAAAATGGCACTCAAAGACGATACACAGCTCCTGTCGTGCTGTGGTTTAAAAATAATGTGTACACAGGTACAATGATTTCTTGAGAATGTTAATATTTGCTCAATTAAAGAAAATGATCTCGTGTTTTTAAGTCGTTTACCAATGATTCTGGTCCGTTCATTGACGTTAATTGTTGATTTGTTTTGACCTAGGAAATATTGAAAATAATCCTTTAGTTGGACTTCGCAACTTTGTGCGTTCTGATCCTGTTAATTGTCATGGATTCAAATACTGATGTAAAGAGTCGCTTTGCTTTGTGGTCTATGAAGAAGGCGCCTTGTTGGATATTATACGAGCGCTTCCTGTTGAAAGGATTTCGCACTCGGGGCAACCTAGAAATGAAATGGAATAGGTGGCAAAAAGCCAACTTCCTTACGGCAGAAACACCCATAATTTCTTCTACTAAAATTGATGTGAAGGTTTTTGTAGGAGAAAGGAAAGTGAAGTAATTTATTTACAAACAATATGGGAAGCTTTGGACTAATAAAGGTCTGCGGTTTTATTCAGGTCTGGGACTGATGGCCTGTCAGCACATTTTGACATTGAACACATTGTAGAATTGCCCAATTTAGGACATACCTCCCACATTCATTCTCTTCCCGCAGTTGTTACTTGTCATATCTTCCTACGAACCTCTGTTCTAATACGGCCATATTTCCCGGTTCTCGTAAAATCCCCTAGCGGCAAAAGATCGCAACACGAATTATCTCCTTCTTTCTATCCAATCAGAACACGTGTTACATCGACTTAGATTCAACTTGACTAACACAAGCAAATGTGGGGCCACAAATATCCCCCATCTGCCGGGGACTTGTGTTGATGTCACATACAAGACGTTTAATGGCTAGCTTGTCCGTTGTCAACGAGGGCGATGGAGCCGCCACTGCTCCGCCATAACATGACTGAGTTCTGTCTAGAAGAAACGTTTGCGCATCGCGCAGGTGAAGAAGTTTAGTTTTCTCGAAGCATACGGAAATTACCGAGGCCTTGCGAATGATCACTTTTGAAACAACGTCGCTGATTGCACAACTAAATCTGATTGCCTCCAACCACGAGTCTTGAACGCTCACACCATGAAAGGGCCGTATTAGAACAGAGGTTACGTAGGAAGATATGACAGGAGTAACCTCTGTGGGAAGAGAATGTCCCGCATTATGCTATTTGTTAAATACATTTCAAAGTGACTCCAACCAAACCCCTCTGCATTGTTTACAGCTGAACCAAGACACGCGGAAGATGTTCCGGTATATGAAGAAAAAGTTGCGCGCTAAACGACGCGGTGGTGAGACGGAGGTCAAAGCCATTCATATAGTTCCGGACGATGATGAGAGTAAGTGGGCGAGAAGGTCCGCCAGCAGCGCGGCAAGCAGGACATCAACTGACACCGCTTGTTCCAACAGTAGTCGTGAGGATAGCAGCTTGCAAGTAGTGCACGACATGGCGGAAGATGTTATAGTCGGCTTAGAGTGACGGTGAATAGGCTGCAGCAACTGCATGGTGCTACTTTATAGGTAGGTAAAAACACGTATTGATGTAAGTAAACCCATAGACATCCTTAAGTAGCCCAAACTCTGAAGATCCGTGTTAGAATTGATCTTCAGTAACCCATGCTTGTTGTAAGAGGCGACTAACGGGATCGGGTGGTCAGGCTCACTATCTTATTTGATGCATATCATCGTATCCCAATGCGTAGTTCGATGATCATGATATTGATCACTGGATTGTCTGGTCCTGACTCGATTATTTAAATACCGCCGTCATATAACTGTATTTAAGAGTGTGGCATTAAACAGCAAACAAAGTAAGAAACAAACAAACAAACAAAACGTACCTGAAAGTTTTTGGTCCATGGAACAATTGTTTGGATGCAATTCATTTTTTGTAGGCTCACGATGTCCCCACGTGGAGATTGCTAACAGCCCTTTCTGTATGACATTTGTGAGAATATACTGTCTTCTCTTGACAATACTATCGCTTTTAATTTCAGGACAAAGAGGGTAAAAGGCAATGAAATATTCTACCGCGATTTAAATGTGATCGCTATGGCAACGACATACCCTTGACGCATGCCTGTTATTTCGACCGGAACTTCATAGTTCTCCCTGGTGAAGTGGACAAAGGGAGACAACTCTCGCGATCCTTTTGGTGGTGGTTTTTGAAGACTAAACACAACAGTCGGGGTTCAAACCTGACAAACATTCACGTTGTGGTATCCCTTTTTGTCAACTTACGAATTTTGGAAGTATTATTCAGATATGTCTATGTGTCAATGAGCCCTAAAAGTCCTGACGTTGGGATGTAAACGTGACCACAGATGGCGACTGGAGCGAGTGCATGGCATTATTGTAAATACACATGTACCTCCAGTTGATGAATCATCACTTCAGATTAGCAAGATGAAACTGACGAAATGTGCTTTCGACGAAGACAACTGTTCCACCAAAAATATACAGTATTACACTGATATTGTTAAAAGGTATTATTAATGGAGTCATTTTGTGAACGGAAGTGTCTGTTGTTTTCGAATACACTTTCTTAGACAAGGCACCACGAGTAGATACGATTAAGTGCCCAATATATAAAATAATACACATAGCGTATCCATGTTCGGGGATTGGAGGGGACTATTAGAGGCCCTTATAAAGGAAAATATTCCCTGTCAGGTTTGTCTTAATTTATATCAGTAGTGTGTCAGTGTTGTTCATTATTACCCTCTGTGTATTGTGTGACGGTACGTGTCAGTCTATAGAGAATATAGGAACTAACGTTTCATATTCATGGGGTATTAGTGAATATTAATGTGATGGTTGAGTTAATTAAATTTTATCGAAAAAATAAATTCTTAAAAAGAACCAGGCCCCTCCTCCATGGATTTGAAATGTTGGTTCCAAAGTGAATATTAATGTGATGGTTGAGTAGCTTGAAATTTATCGTCAAAAATATATTCTTAAAACGTACAGGGATCATCCTCCATGGATTTGAAATGGCGGTTCAAAGATGATGTTAATTTCAAATGCTTCTTCTTTGAGTGGCATTTAGAAGTTGGTGTGATGAACAACGGGGAGAGCTCTATGGATATACAACTTCTATATATTAATATGAGCGACGTTTTGGCGTAGCCACTTACACCGTTATCAAGCAAGTGCTTTCTTGTAGCAACACCGAAACGTCGCTCATATTAGTATAAAGAAGTTGTATATCCATAGAACTCTCCCCGTTGTTATTCAAATGCATTGTTTCTGACTTGAAAGGATACTTGTTTGTTAAATTTTCACTCGAGTCCGAATGTGAGTCGGTTGGCAATTTATTTTTTTGTAGATTTAATATTTTTCTACAGACTGTTTTAATCATCTGTGTACATAATCTATGGATATGATACACATGTAGAATGGAGGATCACTAGAACTATATACTTGATGTACGATCTCTGCAATTCTATATAAATTGGGTTACGAAACACTGACCGACAATTCATTGTAGGTTGTCCAAAACAATAGACGTTATTTTCAACTTCCAGATCGATACAGCTACTAATGAATGAAAACTAATCTTACACGTGGCAGCGAAAGGAAAGTACTATTGCAAAACAATACCAAAAGATAATTCATTTGGTATTTTTGTTAAATTTAAATATATCTCACACGTATTATTCACCATACTATGTATTTCGTACTACCAGCAGTGATAAAATATCGTTATTTTTCATTTCACCTAATTCAACAGGTTCGGTCAAAACAAATCGTCTCAAAAGATGTTATTTTGTGAATTTCAATTTTATATTAGTTTTCATTTTTTCAGCCTCTAAAACAAATTAAAAGAATAATACCTAAAAGAAGTGAAAGCAACAGCGTTCTTCTTTGTGGAAAGGCACTTGGAGACAATGCAGATACGAATTGTTTTCAAAGCAATGCAGACGAAAGAAGGAATTTTTAACATAATAATGTATTGTGACCAAAGTACTTGTTTACATTCAAGTAGATCTCTTCTGTGTATCAAAACTACTGTTTTAATGTATGTATTCAGAGGTATGGAGAAAGTGAGACGGATCCATTTTATATCAAAGGGAGTTTTAAGGTGCCCGTAATGGATGAAAAGATCCTGGCACTACAAAGGGAGTTAACTATGGATAACGTCGTAGTCTTACAAGGGAATGTTTTTCCTTCAGGGGCATGTCAACATAGTATCTTTGATAAGTAGATATTGATAGTGAAAGAGCAGAAAACGCTGTAGAGAAGGCGCATTGAAGATAGCTAGGCGGATCAACGTATTTGTAACTGACACCGTGCCATGGGTGGGTACCAGGTAGATTTATACATTTCGTTATTGCATTTCACTTACTCAATGACTGGAAAAAGTCGGAAGAATTTATTTAACAAATTTTGGTTGCTTATAATCATCAAGTAAATGCACGATGAGTGAGTGAGGGAGTTTAGTTTTACGCCTCACTCAGCAATATTTCCAGCTATATGGCGGCGGTCTGTAAATAATCGAGTCTGGACCAGACAATCCAGTGATCAACAGCATGAGCATCGATCTGCGCAATTGGGAACCGATGACATGTGTGAACCAAGTCAGCGAGCCTGACCCCCCGATCCCGTTAGTCGCCTCTTAACACAAGCATAGGCGCCTTTTGTGGCAAGCTATGGTTGAAATTCACGATGGATTCAAGGTCGATACTTATATAAAGACGTTAATCATCATTAACTACATATCGATAACTGATCGATAATGATTGTAATGATTTGGTAAATCAGGACTCATCTGCTGATTTTAAAGTCATTAAATGTGGTATGACTCATGACCAACGACTGCAACGAGAACGGCTGCATAATTGTATTCCTACACGGAGATCGACATCCCAAAGTAAACGATGGTTCTTAATAGAGCTGTTTCTCTCGTGAGCGTGAGTGCGTATGGTATTATACCAACAATATCACGGAGGGGGACGCTGAAATGGGCTTCACATATTACACCCACGTGGGAATTGAACCCGGTATTCGTTGTGACGAACGAACCCTTTAAACACTGTGGGATAGGTAAATAGCATGTTTCATTATATTAATGGAAGATGTAGTTCGGTGAGATCGTGTATTGTAACATTCCGTCCAACAGAGGTTAGTCCGTCCGTATTTGCACAGACGTTAGTATGCAATCCACGCAGATTTGATGCGATCGATCGACATTCCATGTGTTACTTTTACACATATATATATCCTTTGAATTTTGCATGTTTATTTGTCTTGAATAAATCAATATAATATATTTGACTTCCTGTTGTTGATGTCAAGATCGGGCTTGACTTTTGCAGTTGAGACAAATTGTTTGTATTGATGGTTTCTTTATACGGATTTCTCACGCACGCACGCACGCACGCCCGCACGCCCGCACGCAAAGACCTGTTGTGTTAGGTAATTATATATGTGGTGTTCTTCCTGCAATTAATCTTCAGTAACCCATGCTTGTCGTAAGAGGCGACTAACGGGATCGGGTGGTCAGGCTCAATGCTCACTGACTTGGTTGACATGCTATCTCAATTGCGTAGATCCATGCTCATGCTGTTGATCACTGGATTGTCTGGTCCAGGCCCGATTATTTACAGACCGCCGCCATAAAGCTGGAATATTGCTGAGTGCGGCGTGAAACTCAACTCACTTACTCACCTGTAATGTCGGGTCATTAGTGCTTGGTTGGGCCCAAGGTATTGTTTCGATGCGTAAATGACGACAATGACGAGTTACTGCGTCGTCAATGTTGCAGCTTGCCAACAGCCAATGTTAACGAACGAACGAACGAACAAACGAACGAATGAATGAATGAATGAATGAATGACCTTTACTTCCTCCATTAAGACGGAGAGTACACTTATGAAAACATCTCAGGATATAATATGAAACATATTTACATATTCAAAAATAGTTACATATTCACCTCAAATAGTCTTTGCTGTAATGACATCACTGTCTCATAACGAGATTCAGTGACATCCCTGTCTAATGCTTGTGGTTTCCACCTAGAAGGGTGGTAATCTTGAGATCATTATCATCCCACTCATTCAGTGACATGTGTTCAATGTGTGGTGTGGTTCCACCTAGAAGGGTGGTAATCTTGAGATCATTATCATCCCTCTCATTCAGTGACATGTGTTCAATGTGTGGTGTGGTTCCACCAAGAAGGGTGGTAATCTTGAGATCATTATCATCCCTCTCATTCAGTGACATGTGTTCAATGTGTGGTGTGGTTCCACCTAGAAGGGTGGTAATCTTGAGATCATTATCATCCCTCTCATTCAGTGACATGTGTTCAATGTGTGGTGTGGTTCCACCAAGAAGGGTGGTAATCTTGAGATCATTATCATCCCTCTCATTCAGTGACATGTGTTCAATGTGTGGTGTGGTTCCACCTAGAAGGGTGGTAATCTTGAGATCATTATCATCCCTCTCATTCAGTGACATGTGTTCAATGTGTGGTGTGGTTCCACCAAGAAGGGTGGTAATCTTGAGATCATTATCATCCCTCTCATTCAGTGACATGTGTTCAATGTGTGGTGTGGTTCCACCAAGAAGGGTGGTAATCTTGAGATCATTATCATCCCTCTCATTCAGTGACATGTGTTCAATGTGTGGTGTGGTTCCACCAAGAAGGGTGGTAATCTTGAGATCATTATCATCCCTCTCATTCAGTGACATGTGTTCAATGTGTGGTGTGGTTCCACCTAGAAGGGTGGTAATCTTGAGATCATTATCATCCCTCTCATTCAGTGACATGTGTTCAATGTGTGTGTGTGGTTCCACCAAGAAGGGTGGTAATCTTGTGTGGTTCCACCCTCTCAGAAGGTGTGGGTAATCTTGAGATCATTATCATCCCTCTCATTCAGTGACATGTGTTCAATGTGTGGTGTGGTTCCACCAAGAAGGGTGGTAATCTTGAGATCATTATCATCCCTCTCATTCAGTGACATGTGTTCAATGTGTGGGTGTGGTTCCACCTAGAAGGGTGGTAATCTTGAGATCATTATCATCCCTCTCATTCAGTGACATGTGTTCAATGTGTGTGTGTGGTTCCACCAAGAAGGGTGGTAATCTTGAGATCATTATCATCCCTCTCATTCAGTGACATGTGTTCAATGTGTGGTGTGGTTCCACCAAGAAGGGTGGTAATCTTGAGATCATTATCATCCCTCTCATTCAGTGACATGTGTTCAATGTGTGTGTGTGGTTCCACCAAGAAGGGTGGTAATCTTGAGATCATTATCATCCCTCTCATTTCAGTGACATGTGTTCAATGTGTGGTGTGGTTCCACCAAGAAGGGTGGTAATCTTGAGATCATTATCATCCCTCTCATTCAGTGACATGTGTTCAATGTGTGGTGTGGTTCCACCAAGAAGGGTGGTAATCTTGAGATCATTATCATCCCTCTCATTCAGTGACATGTGTTCAATGTGTGGTGTGGTTCCACCAAGAAGGGTGGTAATCTTGAGATCATTATCATCCCTCTCATTCAGTGACATGTGTTCAATGTGTGGTGTGGTTCCACCAAGAAGGGTGGTAATCTTGAGATCATTATCATCCCTCTCATTCAGTGACATGTGTTCAATGTGTGGTGTGGTTCCACCTAGAAGGGTGGTAATCTTGAGATCATTATCATCCCTCTCATTCAGTGACATGTGTTCAATGTGTGGTGTGGTTCCACCTCTCTCAGAAGGGTGGTAATCTTGAGATCATTATCATCCCTCTCATTCAGTGACATGTGTTCAATGTGTGGTGTGGTTCCACCTAGAAGGGTGGTAATCTTGAGATCATTATCATCCCTCTCATTCAGTGACATGTGTTCAATGTGTGGTGTGGTTCCACCAAGAAGGGTGGTAATCTTGAGATCATTATCATCCCTCTCATTCAGTGACATGTGTTCAATGTGTGGTGTGGTTCCACCTAGAAGGGTGGTAATCTTGAGATCATTATCATCCCTCTCATTCAGTGACATGTGTTCAATGTGTGGTGTGGTTCCACCTAGAAGGGTGGTAATCTTGAGATCATTATCATCCCTCTCATTCAGTGACATGTGTTCAATGTGTGGTGTGGTTCCACCTAGAAGGGTGGTAATCTTGAGATCATTATCATCCCTCTCATTCAGTGACATGTGTTCAATGTGTGGTGTGGTTCCACCAAGAAGGGTGGTAATCTTGAGATCATTATCATCCCTCTCATTCAGTGACATGTGTTCAATGTGTGGTGTGGTTCCACCTAGAAAGGGTGGTAATCTTGAGATCATTATCATCCCTCTCATTCAGTGACATGTGTTCAATGTGTGGTGTGGTTCCACCAAGAAGGGTGGTAATCTTGAGATCATTATCATCCCTCTCATTCAGTGACATGTGTTCAATGTGTGGTGTGGTTCCACCTAGAAGGGTGGTAATCTTGAGATCATTATCATCCCTCTCATTCAGTGACATGTGTTCAATGTGTGGTGTGGTTCCACCTAGAAGGGTGGTAATCTTGAGTTCATTATCATCCCACTCATTCAGTGACATGTGTTCAATGTGTGGTGTGGTTCCACCAAGAAGGGTGGTAATCTTGAGATCATTATCATCCCTCTCATTCAGTGACATGTGTTCAATGTGTGGTGTGGTTCCACCTAGAAGGGTGGTAATCTTGAGATCATTATCATCCCACTCATTCAGTGACATGTGTTCAATGTGTGGTGTGGTTCCACCTAGAAGGGTGGTAATCTGGTAAACTATAAACAAGAAACTCTATAAACAAGAAACTGGGTTTAAACAAGAAACTTATATAAACAAGAAACTCTTCCAGCATTATCATCCCTCTCATTCAGTGTGCTAAACAAGAAACACTATAAACAAGAAACTCTATAAACAAGAAACTCTTTAAACAAGAAACTATAAACAAGAAACTCTATAAACAAGAAACTCTATAAACAAGAAACACTATAAACAAGAAACTCTATAAACAAGAAACTCTATAAACAAGAAACTCTATAAACAAGAAACTCTATAAACAAGAAACAATAAACAAGAAACTCTATAAACAAGAAACTCTATAAACAAGAGCTCTATAAACAAGAAACTCTATAAACAAGAAACTCTATAAACAAGAGAAACACTATAAACAAGAAACACTATAAACAAGAAACTCTATAAACAAGAAACTCTATAAACAAGAAAAACTATAAAAACAAGAAACTCTATAAACAAGAAACTCTATAAAGAAACAAGAAACTCTATAAACAAGAAACTCTTTAAACAAGAAACACTATAAACAAGAAACTCTATAAACAAGAAACTCTTTAAACAAGAAACACTATAAACAAGAAACTCTATAAACAAGAAACTCTATAAACAAGAAACACTATAAACAAGAAACTCTATAAACAAGAAACACAAGAAACTCTATAAACAAGAAACTATAAACAAGAAACACTATAAACAAGAAACTCTTTAAACAAGAAACACAAGAAACTCTATAAACAAGAAACTCTATAAACAAGAAACACTATAAACAAGAAACTCTTTAAACAAGAAACTCTATAAACAAGAAACTCTATAAACAAGAAACTCTATAAACAAGAAACTCTATAAACAAGAAACACTATAAACAAGAAACTCTATAAACAAGAAACTCTATAAACAAGAAACACTATAAACAAGAAACTCTATAAACAAGAAACTCTATAAACAAGAAACTATAAACAAGAAACACTATAAACAAGAAACTATAAACAAGAAACTATAAACAAGAAACTCTATAAACAAGAAACTCTTTAAACAAGAAACACTATAAACAAGAAACACTATAAACAAGAAACTCTATAAACAAGAAACACTATAAACAAGAAACTATAAACAAGAAACTATATAAACAAGAAACTATAAACAAGAAACACTATAAACAAGAAACTATAAACAAGAAACTATAAACAAGAAACTCTATAAACAAGAAACTCTATAAACAAGAAACTCTATAAACAAGAAACACTATAAACAAGAAACTCTATAAACAAGAAACACTATAAACAAGAAACTCTATAAACAAGAAACTCTATAAACAAGAAACTCTATAAACAAGAAACACTATAAACAAGAAACTCTATAAACAAGAAACTCTGCCTGTATAAACAAGAAACTCTAAACAAGAAACACTATAAACAAGAAACTCTATAAACAAGAAAGTCTATAAACAAGAAACTCTATAAACAAGAAACTCTTTAAACAAGAAACACAAGAAACTCTATAAACAAGAAACTCTATAAACAAGAAACTCTATAAACAAGAAACACTATAAACAAGAAACTCTTTAAACAAGAAACACTATAAACAAGAAACTCTATAAACAAGAAACTCTTTAAACAAGAAACACTATAAACAAGAAACTCTATAAACAAGAAACTCTATAAACAAGAAACACTATAAACAAGAAACTCTATAAACAAGAAACTCTTTAAACAAGAAACACTATAACGAAGAAACTCTATAAACAAGAAACTCTATAAACAATAAAAATTTAAACAAGAAACTCTATAAACAAGAAACTCTATAAAGAAGACACACTATGCACAACGACTTGCACAAATACGGATTTCCTTTGTTAAGAATAATTTGTGAAAAATATAAAAATGTATGAAGAAATATATGCACAGTAATATTGTCAAACAGACGTTCACTGAGTGCATTACGCTTAGATACTAAACTGCAGCAGTTGGTGTTTCACGACATCATCACACTCGGTGTCACGGAGTAGGCACATCCCATCTACAACAGGTGATACACCAAGTTTAACTAGACTGTACACTGGTCTGATTGGGATAGGGTACAGTTCACACATTCCACCAGTCTACAGTCCGTTTGAGTCAGAAACGGACCGATGAATTGCAAATTTTATCATTGTACAAAATTGCCACATAAATATAAATAGTACACATGTTTATCATTTACTGATACCCAACAGCTTTCTTATATTTGAAAATTTTCCGGACTCCACCAAAAAAGTTCTTTAAGAAACTATCATTAAAATTTTGACACAGTTCACTATTTGTTACGAGGGAGGAGTGCAGAGAAAGGGACAGCCAGTTGTGCGAGAAAGGATGGAGACGGCACAGCACAGGCTAATGAATCAATAACTTGGTGGGCACTTGTGCACGTGCTTCTCTAACACCTGGATGTCCCTTTCTCTGTACTCCTCCCTCGTAACAAATTGTGAGTGAGTGAGTTAATATTTAACGTAACATCGGCAATATTTCAGCCATATCGTGACGAGTAACAAATTGTGAGCTGTGTCAAAATGTTAATGATTTTAAAGAACATTTTTGGTGGAGTCCGGAAAATTTTCAAATATAAGAAAGCTGTTGGGTATTAGTAAATGATAAACATGTGTACTATTTATATTTATGTGGCAATTTTGTACAATGATAAAATTTGCAATTCATCGGTCCGTTTCTGACTCTAACGGACTGTATGTCGGACAAGAACCATGGCGTCTGCTACTTTTCTATTTATAGTTCTACCCCATTCCAGTTTGCACGGAAAGCTACCAGTCTTCATAGGTTCACTCACATATGACCAGAAATCGTACTTTTGATCAGTTTTTCAGATGATCATGGGTTAACCACATATCACAAATGTTATCAACAATAAACTGTCCTATTCTATACAGGAATACTATTGAATGGATGCTTCCAGTATCTGCGCAACATAGCCTGCAGAAAAGCATGACTTTAAGGTCTGTCGATGGTTCCATGCATTGACCAGAAACCCAAGCTTTGCTGAAGTTTGATGACCGTTTATGGAAGTTTTGAACAATACGAGCAAATAAAAGTCGATCTCGCTCCATGATGTATATTCGGTTTCCGTGATGTTTGTCCATAATTCACAGGCATAGAATGCACAAGGTAGTAAGACTCTACGCCAAATCTTGACACATCATATAGGACTTATAGAATCAGCCTTTAAGCCGACATCCTTTAGGGAATATCGCAGTTTTCTGGCTTTTGCACAGGGACGTTCTGTTCGTTCATCTTGTTGTGTATTATTTATAAGGGATCCAGCATATATGGTGTTACTCACTGTCGGGAGAACACTTTCACCAAGTCTAAAACACAAGTTTTTGTCAACCGAATGGCCACCTTTGAATATCATCACACAGCTTTTATCTACATTGTACGTAAGGCGCCATTTAATAGCCTACGATTTCAGAGTGTTAAGCATGACCCGTAGTCCGTTTGGCTGAAGACTGAGCAGTGTTGTGTCGTCTGCTAGTAGACTACTTGGGATATGTTCATCTCCAATGACGAGGCTGCGTGATGAGGTCATTAATGTAGACAAGGAACATGAAGGCAGAGAGTACTCTCCCTTGTCCTACACCTTGCTTTATGTTGAGCGTCCGGCTTGTAGATCCGTTATGCACATGAGTGTTCATAGCTGTGGTTCACAAGGTGCCAGGCACGGCCTTGTATTCCAAGATTATACAGTTTCACTAGTAGACCATTATGCCAAGTGCGGCCAAATGCTTTTTTATTGTCGAGAAGTGCAGTTTATACATTTAATCCTCTCTGTGTTTACTGGGAGATTATTTCTCTCACGATGAAGGTTGGCACTGCAGCTCAGAATTATGACGAAGAGTCCCGGCTTCTTAAGCTGGTTATACAATAAGCAAACACACAATAACTATATAGACAATTGGTGGAATGCACACATACAGTAATGGGGTTCTTGTTCAACCTCGGGGCGTTCATGTGTACAGGCACTCAAGTTATACATGTCTTGGTCAATGGTTAAATAACATATATCCCCTTCACCAGTACCCGAGGGCGATGAAGAAACGTACATGTCATTGTCGATTTTTATGTTGTATGATACGATGTTACACTTTCTGGTTTGCCGAGGAACACACGCTCACGAGCTCCCGCCAGTCCTTCAGACTCCCTGACCGTCCTGGAAAGCCGCCTCACGAAATCCTGTTCTGATGCCGCCTGTCCGTTTTGCTCCGATTGAGGCTCAGCACGCGCGGGATGGAGCAGACGATTAGATACGATGATTCTCTTTCCGCTTTGCCGAGGAACAGACGCTCACAAGCTCCCGCCTGTCCTTCAGACTCCAATATTCCCTAACCGTCCTGGAAAGCCGCCTCACGAAATCCTCTTCTGATGCTGCGCTGTCGGTTTTGCTCAGAACGAGGCTCAGCACGCGCGGGATGGAGCAGACGATAAGTGATGACAACAAGCTGACGATGACGGACATCTCGTGATACTTACTGAAGTCCTGAATCAGATCGATCGTGGTTGTTATGAGAAGACAAATGACTGCTAGCTTCAGCACTGACAGGAACACACACACGCGGAAAGGACGATGTTTTTCTATGACAGTCTCAAACAGATCTTTGGGTATTCCAGGACGACTGTCACAAGTCTTCACGAACAACACGTGCATAGGACTGTCACGTATTACAACCCCATGCTCCTCTGCCATGGATGTTTCTTCAACAGACGCAACCGTCTTCCTGGTTGTCGATCTGCCTGGAGTTTTGAAACTTGGTGGTTCTTTTTGTAGGTTTTTACTCACGTTGATAGTTTCTGTAAAGAGGTTCATATAACCAATATCGATGTCCCTGACAGTCTTCCATGTATAATATAAACACGTGATAACGAAGGTATAATAGCCGAAAGCAATGTTGGGGTATGCAACTATACCGATGTAGGTGAAGGTCATCACTCCAAACACGAATGTGAAGCTGGAAATACAGATCGCACAGAATGTATACAGGCAGTATACAAGAACCAGAACCATCGACATGGAAACAGGAAACATCAGTAGACGCAGACTCCTAGCGACAGGATTCTTAGAATTGTTCAACCAACCAATATTGTTGAATGTGTCCAAAACCAACTTGAAGTACACTCTCAAGACAAGCGTGAAAAAATACACAATAGGAAGGCCGTAATATACGACGCAGAGCAGAATCTCAACCAAGCAGACGACAAGATATACTGTACAAATTGCTATCATTAAGACATATTTAAATACAGCTGGTAGAGATTTCAATTTGGTTGATATACTTTGAAGACGTGCATACTGGACCTTCACCACAAAGCTCCAGAAATCAATGTTGATTAGAAGAAACAAGTTGGCTCGAAGAACCCTTGACACCAGTTTGTAGCTGTTATCCTCGCTAGAGCAGTTGAGTCCTCCCAGACGAGATGTATTCACCAAGCCTAAAGACAAGGGTGACCAGATCTTTGCGTGACATTGATGGAGAACGCTACACATGGATTGGGACAGGTTTCTCGGTAGACATAGGAGCAGAGTTCCTATGGTGAAATACACGCCATGGAGGACGTAAGGTCCCCCAAGAGCCGTGAACACATTACGCCGACTTAACTCATGACCAAAGAATACAGAAAGGTAGCCTATCGGAACGTTAACCTTGATACAGTCCTGTAAATACTGAAATTCGCTCGAGTAGTAAAAATACAAACGGATGTACGTGATGGCGGGAGATAGCAACATAAACAACAGACGTTGTATGCGTGACGTCATGTGGGGGTGACGTTTCAGACAGGGAAACGTCCTGGTAAATATTGACGAGAATGTCACGGGGCTGCGCGTGCCTCGATACAGCCAGATGACGTCATGGGAAATATCCATTTCCAGAGTGCTGGTCCGTTCCATATCGGCGTGGCTCGATGGAATGGATTTGGGAGACATGTTGAAGGACCATGCACACAACAAGATCGGGAAATAAAGAATACCAATGACACCAAACACGTAAGGTAGTGTGGTCGTTGTGAACGTCGGTTCCAGGGGTGATTCGCTGCAAATGGCTGTACGCAAGCGGGTTTCGGTGTCGAACTTTAACCGACAGCAACTGTTCACCAACATTCTCGTCTGGATACCTAATGAGTTGGCAATGAAGTCAGACAGATCAATTGTATGTTTGATTTCCTGATAGCACCAAATGCTGCGGTTGTAATCGGCGTTCACGACGCTGACTTTAGTCTTTATGGCATCACCAATTGCATCACTGATGGCTTGAGTTGTCGCCTTGGTACCAAGATGGACGTCGCAGTTCTGAGGACGCGCGTGCAAGGTCACGTCGAGGTTGTTCGTGAAGCTGTCAAGGACACCAAAAGAGAGAACTCTGTAATCCCGTGGCCATGATAGAAAAGGCGCAGCACCCAACGGCGTACGGAATGTCCATATCCACTGCAACGGTCGGAATGCAGCCTTTGTCTTCGACGCAATCGACGTGTTCATCAACGACAACGTCATATACACGACTCTTGGTTTCTTTGACCTTCCAAGGTAAGCGAAGTCATCCACACTATTATCATCTACAGTGAAGACACACCGTGATGCTGCAGACGATGATGGGGTCGTTGTTGCTGGAGTTGTTTTACGTTCAGTGTTGTTGGTTACTACCGAGGTTTTGAAGTTGGTCGCCGATGTAATGGAGCTTACCGATGACCCGACAGTCAACACCAACAACACAAAGACCAGAGCATCCACGCCAAGGTGTAAGTTGGGCATTTCAATTCTGAAATAGATATAAATGGAAAAAACGTGTGATTATATCAGCTTCATTTGTCATGTGACACAAACTCTTTTAGCCGAACGGCGACCTCTGTATATTTCTTTTCCGGATGAAGGTTAAACCCATGTACATACTTTAAAGGCACTGTATCACACCCCACTTCTCTAACAATAGATAATGCATCTCTGAATAATATTAACTATCAGACCCCAGAGAAGCTACCATATTCTTAATTCCAAATACAGTTACGTTGTTAGATTTCAATACTAAATTTAAAAGTTCGAATGAATTAATGCAACGTTGCATTAAATCGACCCTCGCGCCCTCTACCGGCCGAACATTATTTCAAGCGAACCCCATAGAGTTATGTCCCTTGGAGCGCTCTTTACGAATATCCTATAACACAACTTGCGATTGAAACCAGTTCGGCAAACACCGACAACACCGCCTGCGGCAGTTTTCGATGTACGGAGTAGTTGTTTACATTTCACATTTGGCAAGTGTTCTCTGTTTGGAAGCTGTTCGCCTCGAAGTTTCAATATCGATTTGGATCAATAGTCAATCAATAGGAAGCTAAAGTGAGTGCATATGCTCCAGTGTATATAACATATAGGCCAAAATATTGTGGAAAGATTCAGTTTACGTTGACCGATGGATTCGTTAATTTTACATATGGACAATACATGATACAAGACTACCCGTGAAGGTCCGGATTAGAATATTGATCTTCAGTGACCCATGCTCGTCGTAAGAGGCGACTAACGGCTTGTCATCGGTTCCCAATTGCGCAGATCGATGCTCATGCTGTTGATCACTGGATTGTCTGGTCCAGACTCGATTATTTACAGACTGCCACCATATAGCTGGAATATTGCTGAGTGCGGCCTAAAACTAAACTCACTCACTCACTTAATACAAGACCTTACTCCTAAAATGTGTACAGTCCATTTGAATACTCTTCGATGTCAAGATAATAACACTCGTGAAGATCAGGGTTAGAATTGGTCTTCAGCAACCCATGCTTGTCGTAACGGGATCGGATGGTCAGGCTCACTGACTTGGTTGGCACCTGTCATCGTATCCCGATTGGGTGAGTGAGTGAGTGAGTGATCGATGTCCAAGATGCTGACCACTGGATTGTCTGGTATACACTCTATTATTTACAGACACACCGCTGAGTGCGGAGGTTAAGGGGAAGTGTACACGAAAAACATCGGGTTTTTTCTTCATTTGAAACAAAATGGATCTTTTGAACTAGTTAATATCAATGCTTGAAGATATACACTCATTTTTATCACAATGAAAGTATAACCCTCAATATAAGTTCTGATATGTTTGTCTAGCTAAGTTGATTTAGACTAGTCTCCTGTCTAGTGCCAAAGCATATTATATTAAGATTGAAATTAATCTCGTGAAAAAAGTATGTAAATATACGAAAGAAGTATTATAACTAAAAATGTTAACAACAGTATAAATTGATAGTAACAAACAAGATAATAACATTCGTCTAGACGTTCGCGTCTATTCCTCTGAAGCCGTACCGTCAGTAATTGACGTGCCGCTCCAGTGAAGGGGAATCCCCTATTTTTTCCTTTTACGAGCAACGGTGATGAATACATATGTCGTACACATCACAAAACAATTTGCTTATCCTTTTCGCGAGATTTTAGTTAGTATTTCAACCCAAAACAACACAGTGGGGACAGCCAAGTGGTTAAAAACGTTCGCTCGTCACATGGGTACAATGTGGCCCATTTCTTGTGTCCCCTGCCGTAATATTGCTGGAATATTGCTAAAAGAGGCATAAACCTAAACTTACTCAATGCAGCTTGGAACACTATTCCCCCGCCGTGATGTTGCTGGAATATTGCTAAAAGCGGCGTAAAACCAAACTCAGTCAGTCAGTGGAACACTATTCAATTACATCACGGCATGCCAACTGAACATGAGAGCGCACTTAATAATCACTGATGTGACTGTATAGGGCCTTACCACTTTGGACTTATGACAAGCACGGCTTGTCGAGGACAAATTATAACCCTGGTTTTTACGGGTGCATTGTGCTGAATATAGGTCGAGGTGTTATTGTGTGTTGTGTGGAGCTGCCTTACTCAATATTACTAAGAATACTGGTACACAGTTTGGGTGAATATCTCATGTAAAGTAAGGCGTGAGTAATTGAAATTAGTTTTACGCCGCTGTTAGCAATAGTCCAGCAATATGACTGAACTCGTAAAAATAGTAAACTTTAACAAGTATACAGTCATGAAAAATGAGATGAGAAAATCCTTAAATCAATTATTTTGTATATCGTTTAGGATAAAAGAAATACAGGTCGAATGGTATATGACGTTTTTCGTAAAATATATTGTGTACGTGAACCTATGGAGAGTACATCTCAATTGCATCAGCTCGCACCAGAAACCTACATTTTGATTTGAAATTTCAAGGGGTAAATATGACACTCTCCTGTAAACTCATCGATTTTGGATGATTTAACAACTGTCAGTTTGACATCTCGCCGCCCTTAAATACCAAACTAAGAAAACAAATCGTTTACCTTATACTCGCCAAGTCGTGTACCTCTGAGCCGTACCAACAGTGTAAGGGTGTGTCTCGCCAGTGAAGGGGAATACCCTTTTTTCCCCCATGCTGCAGGACTGCTAGTATTCAACGCTGGTGAATTTCGCCAGTAGTGCTCACAAGCCGACCTAGACTAAGGCTTAGTCTCTGAATATATATAATTTTGATAGTAACAAACAAGCCCATTTATATTGAAAAGGAGCCCTAGGGAGACCAGAGATTCAGAACCTGAGGAAATCTAGACTTGCTTTATTTAGGGCTTTAGCAGCGCAGAGAGGGCTTGGCAGTAGGGAAATTAATGTGGTTCAGGGACTGTGAGACAGACTAAAGCCGACCCTGCTCAGGTTTCAACAAACCATCGTGTTCAGTTTCTTTTCAGTATTTTCCTGGCGTCTATGTTGCCCGCGGGCTTGTTTCACAATCTGCTGATTCAGACTGACGCAATAGACTCTGCTGTTTAACGCGAGTAGTGACTGAGGTTTGTTTTACGCCGCTTTGAACATTATTATACATAAATTAAGACGTATCAGCTTATCGGAGGAAAGGTGTTGCAGGGTAACCTCTTTGGGGAAGGGACGGCAGGGTGGCCTTGTGGTTAAGGCGTTCGCTCGTCACGCTGGAGACCCGTGACATGGGTACAATGTGTGAAGCCCATTTCTCGTGTCCCCTGTCGTGATGTTGCTGGAATATTGCTAAAAAAAGGCGTAAAACAATACTCACTCACTCTTTGGTGAAGGGTCATCTCCGTGGTGTAGTGGACAGAGCGTCTGTCCGGAGGGCGGTGGTTCGATCACTGGTCGCGCAAAGTGAGTGAGTGAGTTGGGGATGACGCCACTTTCTGCCATATTCCGGTAACATCACGTCGGGGGACAGCAGAAATAGACTCACTCATTGTACCCTTGTGGAGAATCGAACTCCTCCCATCGGCGTGACGCGGATGCTTAAACCTCTAGGCCACCGCCATGGTCGCGCCAAACCAAACTACGTTACAAGTGATGAAATACCCAATGCCATTTAGAAAGTGGTCAAATGTAGCATATGTTATATTTGGGATTACGTTTTCTTTGTAAAGTACAGATTTTAGTACTTTTGTTGGGTTGAGTCCCATCCGGGATTCGAACCCACGCCCTCAGACTCAGGCACCTAATCGCCATTGTGTGCGTCTGACTTTGTGTGCTAACATATGTTACGTTAAAAGTTGATACTTGTTATTACCCTGCCTGGGGCTCAGCGTTATAGGGATAAGACAAGGACTCGGAGTCAGTATGTTGTGTGTCAACAGGGTACCCATGTTAAAACTGTGGCATGGCATCTCAGTTGGGTAGCATTAGTCCTTACTTCAACTAGCAGCTAAACTCACACATGCATCCACGTCACTACATAGGAGCATGTAACACTAAGCACTAGCATCATGGTCGATATTGTCACTTACCGGGTCTTAGAACTATTTAAAACAAAGGCGGTGGGGTAGCCTTGTTGTTAAAGCGTCCGCTCGTCACGCCAAAGATCCGGGTTCGATTCCCCACATGGGTGCAATGTGTGAAGCCCATTTCTGATGTCCCCGGCTGTGATATTGCAAAAAGCGGCGTAAAACTAAACTCACTCACATAAACGTAAAGGTGTTTAACGAACCCAACCCACAAAGTTCGTTTCAGGACGAATTCAACACTCCTAGCTGTACATATGCCTATAAAACTATTAATACACAAATTTCAATGGGGGTTGACCTACAAAATAAGGCATAAATCACAAAAATCGAATTGGGAGCTAGGGTCTTAAGAAGCCTGAAGAATCGTAATTTCCGGCCATCTTTGCAACTGAGTTCCGTCTGAGCGGAAACGAGCCCAGCTAAGAGAAATTGCCGAAACGGACTGTTCTGTATAATGATTCACATACATTTTGCAGATACTACTCAATCATGTCTTGGGCATATTTTTTAGACAAGACGCACATCAAATCAGAACATATTCCTGGAGGATATTTTAACAAAAATATTTGACCGAAATACTACAATTTTGACCGTCATAAAGTTTCATTTAGTCTTTTTACGGTTTACGGAAAGGGGCGAGAGTTGATGAATGCAACTAGTCCCTTTGACTGGTTCTGGTTGTGTTTGCGCTGAGTCTTCCAACGATTGACTGTCACAAAACTGCAAAGGGTCGTTGGAGTCCAGTGTGACATTGTTGGGGAAATCGTCGTTGGGCAAACGGTATGTATTCTGATGAAATCAAGAATTACTTCGGACTTGGGCGCTTTGGCCAATCATGAACAAAATCTATGGTCTTCCGACGTCTGAGAACTAATGGAAATCTCATTCAGATGTCCCTGTCCGCTGTTAAACTATTTATCTCATTAAAAATCCAAACATCAACAGTTGTGACACCTTTTCTTGAATATGCCCCACTTTTTGAAAATAGTACAGATGTGATTCTTAAATCGTTTTTTTACTGTCTGGGAATAGATAATATATAAACATTATAATAACGTCACTGGACTGAAAACAGTTCCCGACAAGAATACAATCTTAATTGGTCCTCAACATCCAGTGATCAACAGTATGAGCATCGATCAACCCGGTTGGGATACGATGACGAATGGGTTGGGTTGCTGAAGACCAATTCTAACCCGGATCTAAAAGTGTCCTTCACAATAGACCCCAAACCAGAAGCATATTACGAAAAATGTGGTGTCGATTTGAAAGACTATGGCTGATACAGACACGTGGAGGATGGTGGCTGCAATGTCCGCGTGGTCAGTCAGGCTTGTTGAGGAAGTGGGGTGTATTTATACAGCTGCACCGTCGTGGACAACGTACCGTCTCCGTGCTTCGTGGACAGCCAGCAGTGACAGGGGAACTCGTAGACACCAACTCCATCCTCTATGGTGACCTGAAGGCATATTTCAGCTGACAAGAAAAAGCCTTTAAAAAAACGTTGGTTGCACCTTAGTAAATTAAGAAATTTTGTGAGAAGGGCGTGAGATGATTTGGGGTGTGGGATGGGGTGTGTGTGGGGGTGTGTGGGGGTGAAGCTGATTTCAAGCGCATCACAGTGATCATAACTCCGTCAATTTGAGACTTGCTTCTCTTAGAGTTCGGTACTCGCATCGCAAATACGGTACTCCCATCTCCAGTATATGACATATCATTTCAAAGGTCTTTGTCATGTCTGACCGTGTCTGGAAATGAAGTACTAGTGACGGGCGGAGGAAACATGGTCCTATACAGTGCCACTGTCGGGTCAGCGTCTATAAGCACCGGTGGGTTCGCACAGTTATTGCAAAGACGGTATAACATGTACGGTCAGCACTCCGGTACTGTTACTGAACACGCTTCTCGAACCGATTCTAGGAAACCAGTTGACCTTTTCGCTAATTTCCAGGAAAAGCTAATGGGTGTTACTGAAATGGAATGGATTTTCCGATTCTGCAATTCGAAATTATGCACTGAACTAGTACAAGTGTGCTCTATTACGTGTAAAATTGTTTTGAATTGAAAGTGTATCGGTTTATTAACGTATTTGATCAGTAAAAACACAGAAAGTGTTCAAATTAAAGATTTATAGAAAACTCGATTTTCGCATTAACTTTATATTACGGAAGCGTCCTAGTGCAACAGTCAGAATATTTTTATCTCCTAATTAGGACATAACTATCTCCTAATTAGGAGATACTATCTCCTAATTAGGACTTAATATCTCCTAATTAGGACTTAGCTATATATATCTAAGTCCTAATTAGGAGATAGCTAAGTCCTAATTAGGACTGACTGACTGACTGAGTTTGGTTTTACGCCGCTTTTAGCAATATTCCAGCAACATCACGGCGGGGGACACCAGAAATGGGCTTCACACATTGTACCCATGTGGGGATTCGAACCCGGGTCTTCGGCGTGACGAGCCAACGCTTTAACCACTAGGCTACCCCACCCCCCATCCTAATTAGGAGATAGTATCACCTAACTAGGAGATAGCTAAGTCCTTATTAGGAGATAGCTAAGTCCTAATTAGGAGATAGTATCACCTAACTAGGAGATAGCTAAGTCCTAATTAGGAGATAAAAAAATTCTGACTGTGGCACTAGGACTAGGAAGCGTCCTAGTGCCACAGTGTCCTAATTAGGACATAACTATCTCCTAATTAGGACTCAATATCTCCTTATTAGGACTTAGCTATCTCCTAGTTAGGACTTAGCTATCTCCTAATTAGGACTTAGCTATCTCCTAGTTAGGTGATACTATCTCCTAATTAGGACTTAGCTATCTCCTAATTAGGACATAGTTATCTCCTAATTAGGACTTAGCTATCTCCTAGTTAGGTGATACTATCTCCTAATCAGGACTTAGCTATCTCCTAATAAGGACTTAGCTATGTCCTAATTAGGACTTAGCTATCTCCTAGATAGGTGATACTATTTCCTAATTAGGAAGGGGGGTGGGGTAGCCTAGTGGTTAAAGCGTTGGCTCGTCACGCCGAAGACCCGGGTTCGAATCCCGACATGGGTACAATGTGTGAAACCCCCGCCGTGATGTTGCTGGAATATTGCTAAAAGCGGCGTAAAACCAAACTCAGTCAGTCAGTCAGTCCTAATTAGGACTTAGCTATCTCCTAATTAGGACTTAGATATCTCCTAATTATGACTTAATATCTCCTAATTGGGACTAAGCTATCTCCTAATTAGGTGATACTATCTCCTAATTAGGACTTAGCTACCTCCTAATTAGGACTTAGCTATCTCCTAATTAGGACTTAATATCTCCTAATTAGGGCCTAGCTATCTCCTAGTTGGGTGATACTATCTCCTAATTAGGACTTAGCTATCTCCTAATAAGGACTTAGCTATCTCCTAATTAGGACTTAGCTATCTCCTAATTAGGACTTAGCTATCTCCTAATTAGGACTTAGATATCTCCTAATTAGGACTTAATATCTCCTAATTGGGACTTAGCTATCTCCTAATTAGGTGATACTATCTCCTAATTAGGACTTAGCTATCTCCTAATTAGGACTTAATATCTCCTAATTAGGACTTAGCTATCTCCTAGTTAGGTGATACTATCTCCTAATTAGGACTTAGCTATCTCCTAATTAGGACTTAGCTATCTCCTAATTAGGATTTAATATCTCCTAATTAGGACTTAATATCTCCTCATTAGGACTTAATATCTCCGAATTAGGACTAAGATATCTCCTAATTGGGACTTAGCTATCTCCTAATTAGGACTTAGCTATCTCCTAATTAGGACTTAATATCTCCTAATTAGGACTTACCTATCTCCTAATTAGGTGATACTATCTCCTAATTCGGACTTAGCTATCTCTTAATTAGGACTTAATATCTCCGAATTAGGACTAAGATATCTCCTAATTGGGACTTAGCTATCTCATAATTAGGTGATACTATCTCCTAATTAGGACTTAATATCTCCTAATTAGGACTTAATATCTCCTAATTAGGACTTAATGTCTCCTAATTAGGACTTAAGGATCTTATAAATATGTTTGAAAAAGTCAACCAGTAGTCATTCACTTCTTCTGTTTGGGTTTAGCATCTTGGATGAAGTCATGGATGAAAGCATATGCATTTGTTTCATGTTGGGCATGCAGTATTCAGAAATTGTGTCTTGTTTGGTCCATGTAAATGGCATCATTATCAGCATGAAGACTTTGAAAAGGAAATCAAAACGACTGAATCTGTTTAGGCGAAGACATAATAGTGATATTGCAGAAGTTGCTATGTTCGTAGTGAAAGTGAGTAAGTGAGTATGGTTTTACGCCGCTTTTAGCAATATGCCAGCAATATCACGGCGAGGGACCGTAGTGAAAGAGGTGGAAGAATCAGGACAAATGTCATTCTCTTCCCACAGAGGTTACTCCTGTCATATCTTCCTACGTAACCTCTGTTCTAATACGGCCCTTTCATGGTGTGAGCGTTCAAGACTCGTGATTGGAGACAATCAGATTTAGTTGTGCAATCAGCAACGTTGTTTCAAAAGTGATCATTCGCAAGGCCTCGGTAATTTCCGTATGCTTCGAGAAAACTAAACTTCTTCCCCTGCGCGATGCGCAAACGTTTCTTCTAGACAGAACTCAGTTATGTTATGGCGGATCAGTGGCGTCTCCATCGCCCTCGTTGACAACGGACAAGCTAGCCATTAAACGTCTTGTGTGTAACATCAACACAAGTCCCCGGCAGATGGGGGATATTTGTGGCCCCACATTTGCTTGTGTTAGTCAAGTTGAATCTAAGTCGATGTAACAGGTGTTCTGATTGGATAGAAAGAAGGGAGATAATTTGTGTTGCGATCTTTTGCCGCTAGGGGATTTTACGAGAACCGGGAAATATGGCCGTATTAGAACAGAGGTTACGTAGGAAGATATGACAGGAGTAACCTCTGTGGGAAGAGAATGGACAAATGTGTGCTTACAAGCTTATGCATCTGAAATGCATACAAGAGGGATTCATTATCAGTCAAGACATGGTGCTTCATTTGCTGCATTTAGTAGTGGCAGAAATGAGAGTACAAGAACACCCAACTGCATGTACTTCCACAGAGATCGGGTAGACTCCCTGAATGTGAGAGGCTACCACACTGATGACGTCACGAGGGGGAATCCCCCTTGTTTCCTCTATAGCATGGCCGACGCCATGTTGAAAAAAACTCAAGTCGTCCGTTTGTGTAATGACTCATGCCTGCACAAATGCACATTTATAGAGCGAAATAACAATGACAACATACAACTTCTACACACAATATTTAATATCCCCGTGCATGGGTCGGAGAGCCTCCCCAATCCACCCTTACAATCTATATACAAATGTCTCTTGAAATATACAAAGACACTTTACACATTTCTCTACCATGTGGTGGTGTCTGGTGGTTTGTGGTGGTGAATGGTGATGGGTGATAGTGGTGTGTTGTGGTATGTGGTGGGGGGTGGTGGTAGGTGATGGTGATGGTGGTGTGTGGCGGTGTGTGTGTGGTGGTGTGTGGTTGATGTGTGTGGTGTGTGGTGGTGGTGCTGGTGTGGCTGTGGCTGCTGCTGCTGTGTGTGTGGTGGTGGTGGCTGCGTCTGTGGCTGCGTCTGCGTCGTCAGCGTCAGTGGAACCACATTTTGGCATTCATCAGAATGTTTGACTCTCATGTGTCTCTTCAAATCATAGGGGCGGTGGGGTAGCCTAGTGGTTAAAGCGTTGGCTCGTCACACCAAAGACCCGGGTTCGAATCCCCACATGGGTACAATGTGTGAAGCCCATTTCTGGTGTCCCCGCAATGATGTTGCTGGAATATTGCTAAAAGCGGCGTAAAACCGCAGTCAGTCAGTCTTCAAATCATAAGACCATGTATAAGTATTTCCACACAAAGAACAGATATTCATCTTGTTGTTTCTCCTCCAAAGGTCAGTGACAGAACAACAAGGTTCTGGGTTATTCATGCCTCCATTCATTGGCTCTTCTCTGATTTTCCAATGACCATAGGCCATCTTCGGGACGATATCGCTTGTCATTGAAGGGAGACGACCGCATATCAGTGCATAAAATGGGGTAATATGGGAAATGCTAACGGAACTACTATTAAATTAATTGTTGTGATTGCACGTGTAAAAATGACTGTAAAACTTAGTGATTACATTTTGTTTGTTTTATAAACATGGTTTACAATATAGTTGTGCAAGATGATTTGAAAGGTAGGCCTACTAACCCACTGACCTAGTTATACAGGTCACGTCTGTTGTACATAGCCAGGCGTGTGTGCACAGGCTAAGACTCGAAATATATTATTGGATACAAGTGGACAGACATTACACGATATGTAAAACTATATATAAACCTGGGACAGCCTTCTGTTCAGTTGGGAAGATTTATGTATGTAGCCTGTCACAGATTCGTAGGACAGTAAGGACTGTGTTTATATGACAAGGCATGCTTACATGACGATGTGAAAAAATGTGACTGTTGATCTCATAGATTATATGGATTATGCGACACTGTGGATAAATAATAATGAACAGGTGACGTCATTGGCGTTGGGCGTTCTGGTACTCTTATTTCTACCACTACTAAATGCAGCAAAGACGCACCGTGTCTTGACTGACAGCGAATACCTCTTGTGTGTATTTCAGATGCATAAGCTTGTAACTACATATTTGTCCTGATTCTTCAATAACATATGTTATATTTGGGATTACACTTTCTTAGTAAAGTACAAATTCTAGTACTTTTGTTGGGTTGAGTCCCATCAGGGATTCGAACCCAGAGTCAGGCATCCAATCGCCAGCACACAAAGTCAGCCGGCTCAGTCACCGCGACTTCCAGCAACCGCTGGCGATTAGGTGCCTGACTCTGAGGGTGTGGGTTCGAAACCCGGATGGGACTCAACCCAACAAAAGAACTAGAATTTGTACTTTACTAAGAAAGTGTAATCCCAAATATAACATAGGTTACATCTGACCACTTTCTAAATGGCACTGTGTAATCACTGATTCTGCTACCTCTTCTACCTCTTCCACTAGTATGTCTTCGCCTACACAGTTTCAGTCGTTTTGATTTCATTTTCAAAGTCTTCATGCTGATAATGATGCCATTTACATGGGCCAAACAAGACACCATTTCTGAATACTGCATGCCCAACATGAAACAAATGCATATGCTTTCATCCATGACTTCATCCAAGATGCTAAACCCAAACAGAAGAAGTGAATGACTACTGGTTGACTTTTTCAAACATATTTATAAGATCCTTAAGTCCTAATTAGGAGACATTAAGTCCTAATTAGGAGATACTAAGTCCTAATTAGGAGATATTTAGTCCTAATTAGGTGAGTAAGTGAGTGAGTTTGGTTTTACGCCGCTTTTAGCAATATTCCAGCAATATCACGGCGGGGGACACCAGAGATGGGCTTAACACTCTTAATTAGGAGATATTAAGTCCTAATTAGGAGATAGTATCACCTAATTAAGAGATAGCTAAGTCCTAATTAGGAGATAGGTAAGTCCTAATTAGGAGATAGTAACTCCTAATAAGGATATAGCTAAGTCCTAATTAGGAGATATTAAGTCCTAATAAGGAGATAGTATCTCCTAATTAGGAGATAGTTATGTCCTAATTAGGAGATAAAAATATTCTGACTATGGCACTAGGACGCTTCCGTACTTCCGTATTATATGAAGGAAGTAAAGCGGGACAATTATTTCGGATTACCCACATGGTCACGTGGCTCCTAATTTGCTACAACTACCTTCATTGGTCATTTGGAATTGCCAAAATACAAACACACTAAGGATCATTGGCTGAAAGTTCATTTTGAATAATCCAAGTGTATACTGTGGAGAGACATTTCACTTGAGAGACATATATTCAGCCTGATGGAAAGGTCAGAGGCTTTTGCTCCTCCAACCAATAAGGCAGCTGTCCTGCTGGTCGCCTCTTAGGAGAAGCATGGGGTGCTGAAGACCATTCTAACCCGTATCTTCAAGAGTCGGATGTATTAATGAAATGTACAGCTCCCATATTGTAAAGGATACCCAATTTCCTTGAACATCCACAAATACGCATGTACAGTGAGTCAGGTATAACAGATGCAGCTTGTACATTCCACCCTCAACGCTGTCTCTTGTTGCTATCCCTCAAAGTAGTCATACATTTTCTTATGGCTCCCACAGAGGAAATTCGCTATGACACCTCACACGATGCACTTTCATTATCTCACACAGTGGACTAACATTATCTCACATCTCACAGTGGACTAACATTATCTCATATCTCATTCGATGGACTATCATTATCTCATATTTCACACGATGGACTATCATTATCTCATATCTCACAAAGGGGACTAACATGATCTCATATCTCACAGTGGACTAACATTATCTCACATCTCACAGTGGACTAACATTATCTCATATCTCACAGTGGACTAACATTATCTCATATCTCTCACAGTGGACTAACATGATCTCATATCTCACACAGTGGACTAACATGATCTCATATCTCACACAGTGGACTAACATGATCTCATATCTCATACACAGTGGACTAACATGATCTCATATCTCATACAGTGGACTAACATGATCTCATATCTCATACAGTGGACTAACATGATCTCATATCTCACAAAGGGGACTGTCATTATCTCACAATGTGGACTAACATTATCTCATATCTCATAAAGTGGACTGACACTATCTCATATCTCACAAAGTGGACTGACATTATCTTATATCTCATACAGTGGACTAACATCATCTCACATCTCACAGTGGACTAACATTATCTCATATCTCACAATGTGGACTGACATTATCTCATATCTCATATAGTGGACTAACATCATCTCACATCTCACAGTGGACTAACATTATCTCACATCTCACAAAGTGGACTGACATTATCTCACATCTCACAAAGTGGACTGACATTATCTCATATCTCATACAGTTGACTAATATCTCATATGTCTCACAGTGGATTAACATTATTTCACATCTCACAGTGGACTAACATGACCTCATATCTAATACAGTGGACTAACATTATGTCACATCTCACAGTGGACTAACATTATCTCGTATCTCACTCGATGGCCTATCATTATCTACACACGATGGACTAACATGAGCTCATATCTCACAAAGTGGACTAACATTATCTCGTATCTCACTCGATGGCCTATCATTATCTACACACGATGGACTAACATTATCTCATATCTCACAAAGTGGACTGACATTATCTCATATCTCACTAAGTGGACTGACATTTCGTATGTCTCACAGTGGATTAATATTATTTCGCATCTCACAGTGGACTAACATGATCTCATATCTCACACACTGGACTAACATTATCTCACACAGTCGACCAAACCGCACATGGTACATACAACCACACAACCTAGGTCGATATACCAAGGATTTCGACATAGGAGGGGTAGTATTACTGTGCTCCAAATGTGACTATGAGTTTACAGTTTTTGTCATTCTTTACGTGGACGGTCGGGTAGCCTAGTGGTTAAAGGGTTCGCTCGTCACGCCGAACACCCGGGTTCGATTTTTCACATTGGTACAATGTGTGAAGCCCATTCCTGGTGTCCTTCGCCGCGATATTGCTGGAATACTGCTAAAAGCGGCGTAAAACCAAACTCACTCACTCATTCACTGTATTTCTTTACAGACCACACCTGTTCGATGTACCAGCTGGGGTTGTGCCCGTGTGCGTCATGGCGGATGTGGATGCTTCGTATGTGGCCGACAGATGGCGCAAATATTTCAACTTTGTCCACACTGCAATGGAACAAACCGTTAGTACACGTCGTATCACATGGTTAGTACAAGTCGTATCACATGGTTAGTACAAGTCGTATCACATGGTTAGTACAAGTCGTATCACATGATTTGTACAAGTCGTATCACATGGTTAGTACAAGTCGTATCACATGGTTAGTACAAGTCGTATCACATGGTTAGTACAAGTCGTATCACATTAGGTCGTACAATTCGTATCACATGGTCTGTCTGTCTGTATCACATGGTTAGTACACGTCGAAACACACAGTTCAAGTCGTAACACATGGTTAGTACACGTCCAAACACATGTTTAGTACAAGTCGTAACAAATCGTTAGTACACGTCGTCACGGACAGTTAGTATACGACGTATCAGACGGTTTGTAGACGTCGAAACACACAGTACAAGTCGTAACACCCAGTTAGTACAAGGCGTAACTAACGATTTGTACAACTCGTAAAGCATGGTTAATACAAGTCGTAATAAACGGTTTGTACGAATCGAAAAATAAACCAGTTACTGCTTGACAGAACACGCGATTACAACCCAGAACAAATGAGTACAACACAGAACATATGAGTACAACACAGAACAATCGGTTAATGCACAGCAGAACAAACGGCGAGCGAACTCTTCATCTTCAAAGCTGTTCTATTACTGTGCTCCAAATGTGACTATGAGTTTACAGTTTTTGTCATTCTTTACGGGGACGGTCGGGTAGCCTAGTGGTTAAAGGGTTCGCTCGTCACGCCGAACACCCGGGTTCGATTTTTCACATTGGTACAATGTGTGAAGACCATTTCTGGTGTCCTCCGCCGTGATATTGCTGGAATATTGCTAAAAGCGGCGTAAGGCTGAACGCACTCACTCACTTGCACTCACACCACATATTAATCTCTGAGCTACATTAAGAGAGGTACTAACTGTCCTTGACCGTACAGGTGCTTGTTTCCTGCATTGAGATTTGCTTCATTGGTCACTCCTCCGTCCCCCGTCATAGAGAGGAACACGTTGGAATGAGTGCCCGCGTGAGATATACTGCCCGTCGTTATGGTCACTTGGAACTTGGTCACTGCAATGAAGACTTTCGTAAACATTCCACTCTTCAAGCTGCACATGCCCGTATTTGTGAAAAAGAATCGTGTAGTTCATTGTTGTGTTATCATGGCAGCGGCGGGGTAGCCTAGTGGTTGAATTCTTTGCTTGTCACGCCGAAAGTGATGCAGGTCTGAGATGTGTACAGGTACAGATGTACTTCTGACAACATCCGGGTTAGAATTGGTCTTCAGCAACCCATGCTTGTCGTAAGAGGCGACTAGCGCGTGGTCAGGCTCGCTGGCTTGGTTGACACGTGTCATCGTATCCCAGGTGCGTAGATCGATGCTCATGATGTCTATCAGTGGATTGTACAGGCTCGATTACGTACAGACCGCATACATATTGCTGGAATACATACATATTGCTGAGTGCGGCATAAACAACAAACAAACAAACAAATCATACAAACAAACTTATAAACATGATCAGAGCGAAACTGGGATTGGCGTGATGCACGTTAAAGGGACGCAACTCATCCCAGCTAATTGTGGAGGCTTTGACGAGTGGTTCCTTCGTACCTCTCTCGCAAGGAAGAATTCAAAGAACATTTATTACTATCACGATAGTACTGAAGCTAGACACACAACCAAGTGCTTACTATCCCCAACAATGAGCCGTCTCTCTGCAAACACCGATAGCCAAAGGCTGAGCAGTACAACGTAGACTTTCATTGTTGAAGCTGGAACAAAAACAATCACGGTTATCTAACTAGTTGACGTCAAAAGAAATTCCTGGTGACATTCGTAACTACTCGTGTCATTCCGGCAAGCCGGATGGTGCCCTCTCGTGGCCATGTTTACGACTGGGCCCTGTCTAAGCGCAAACGGGCATGGAGATGAAAATAGTCAAGTACTATTACCAAGGAAAGATAACTCTGAATCTGGCTGACAGAATATCCTATATCCCGTGGGCAAAAGAGCAAAGCAGTAATTCCCTTTGTAAATATGTTTCAGTGTTTAAAGTTGCTGATCCTTTAGCTCAAAGTTTATGTTTAAATTGTGTTTTGTGCTTTGCATGGTTTAGGGAAGTTTCAAAGTTCAACGGTGCCGCCATTTTCATGCTTCGAAATGCGTTTTACTACGCACGATTTGATTGGTTTGCCACGATTCTTGGCGTACGATAGGGGTACAAGTCTTCTTGTAGGTCACGGAAAGAGGTGTGCAGTTATGAATGTCATGGTGACGGTGGAACAAATTACTTATGGTGAACTAAGCGATATCTCAATAGCCTTTTGTGATAGCATCAACGACGGTACGAAAAACAGCAGGTGATCTGGAGAAACTTGCAGTCCTTTATCCATGTAATATTTTTAAATGATGTAAAATAACGTCATACATTTGTTTACTTTTTCCTGGTGCATTAATAAAGCATGAAAACATCTGGAAACATGTCTCTATTTATTTATATGAATATCAAAACAATATTTCGGATTTTAAATGTGTAGTTTAGGTTCTTAAATTGCGTTTGCTTTGGTACAGTTGCAACTGGGAAACATCTGTCATTAGTAAAAAAGAATATACTTTAAATGAGAATACTAACGCCAAATTATTTTTTCATAGGGAAAAGCATTCTAAAAGTCACTTTCCATTATTAAAACACCCGAAGATAATAAGCAGAAGCAGGTATCACGTGACATGACGTCATATGTGCATGCAGCAGATGGCTTCCTCTTTGATTTTACCAGACAATTTGACAGTGACCATGTCATTTCTGAAGCAGTAAAATGTCACATATAGAAAACTCGCTTTCCGCTTTAACTATGCAGTAAAGCGGGACAATTATTTCGGATTACCCGCATGGTCACGTGGCTCCTAATTTGCTACAACTACCTTCATTGGTCATTTGGAAATACAAAGAGACTGAGTATCATTGGCTGAAAGTTCATTTTGAATATTCCATGTCTATTTAGAGAGAAATTTCACACGAGAGACAAATTCATGCATGTTGATTAGGAGGTTGGAGGCGCAAACACCAAAAAGGGTTTACATTACTGTGTAGCACTTGGTCTTAGACAAGAAAGCCGACTTTAGTCACATGTGACGTCACGAGTGAAAAGGTCACGTGGATTGTACATAATGGCCGAAGCTGAGATAACAGAAACTGTTTTCGCGATTAAAATATAAAAACTATATAATGAAAATACTTTTGCATTAAAAAGTGGGGTACATGTTTCCGATGTTTTATGACCTTATCTTTCACCCAGTCATTTACTGCAATTGTCTAGTATTCTCCCTTTGAAGTGAAGACCCTTCGCGACCATAATTCAGCTCTAACAACATGCCCCTTATTTATATTCAGACAGGCGCTGGGATAGCCTTGTAGTTGTAGCGTTCGCTCGTTACGATGAAAAACCGGGTTCGATTCCACAATGTGTGAAGACCATTTCTGGTGTCCCAGCCGTGGTATTGCTGATATATTGCTAAAAGAGGTGTAAAACTAAACTGACTCACTCACATACTCACTATTTAGACAGACAGGCATATTTTTCAGAATATACAGATTACGTGAACATTTTAAGACATTTATCACTTACCACGTATGTGTCGCGAGCAGTTAATGCTGTCTGCGCTTTACGATCACGTGACCCAGGAAAGATGAGAACAGACAGATGGGAAATATATCTAGGCCTGGTTTTTTATTTCTACTTTTGACAGTGTAAGGAAAACTGTAACCATCAGTGATTTAACCACATGCACAATCATATGAGTACTGGATGAAACAGCTTGTGTTCAGTGAGTGAGTGAGTTTAGTTTGACACCGCACTCAGCAATATTCCAGCTATGTGGCGGCGGTCTGTAAATAATCGAATCCGACCAGACAATCCAGTGATCAATAGCATGAGCATCGATCTGCGTAATTGGGAACCGATGACATGTGTCAACCAAGTCAGCGAGCCTGACCACCCGATCCCGTTAGTCGCCTCTTACGACAAGCATAGTCGCCTTTTGTGGCAAGCATGGGTTGCTGAAGACCTATTCTACCCCGGATCTTCACGGGTTGAGACAAGCATGGGTTGCTGAAGGCCTATTCTACCCCGGATCTTCACGGGTCGTTCAGCCATAGCAGTCATTCGTCAACCTCATTCCGAGAGAAAAACAAAAGCATTGTCAACAAAACCGACTGCCTGTCGGTTACGAAATAGAGAATGACAAAGTACATGTCCAGTTAATGTTTTTACACAAAATTTTGTTTAGTAATATTTTGTTGGATTGAGGTGAATTTGTTTATGTGGTTGTTGACTGGGGTAAGATTGCCTGTTTTAGTGCACTGTCTTCCTCACTTTGCATGACATTCACTCAACCTGTGCACTAGTAGTGAGTGAGTTTAGTTTTATGCCGCTTTTACTAATATTCCCGCAATATCACGGCGGGGACGCCAGACACCAATGTACCCATGTGGAGAATCGAACCCGGGACTTCAACGTGACGAGCGAACGCCCCACCGTCCTGGGTGTATTCAGAAATGACTGATGTCTGATATCGTTGGTCTAACCAGTGACTGAATTAAGCAGGACCTGTCAAGATCTATTCTTCTTATTATTATGCTTTACAACTTCAGCCAAAAATTCAGCATTCTTTTCTATTTTGTTATTGTTTCCTCGAAGGGTGTAGCCTCGTGGTTAAAACGTTCGCTCGTCACGCCGACGATCCGGGTGCGATTCCCAACATGACTACAATGTGTGAAGCCCATTTCTGGTGTCCCATGACGTGATATTGTTGGAATATTGCTAAAAGCGGTGAAAAACCTCAATCCCTTAATCAATCGTATTTTAGCAATGGATCTCTGTAAGCCTGGAAGTTCTAAGACGAAAGGACACTGTCATAACAAAGAACAATCGTTTATTTCACGATCATGGCATGTGACAACACCCCGCAGTTGAATACGACTCAAAGAATTCAGGATCACCGAGTTCTTTCATAATATACTACCAAAAAGAAGTTTTCACAGGATTCTTTCATATTACTATACTCAGTCTGGCATGAAATATGTTATAGTAAATCCATTATGGCATGCTATGGGTCTCACTCCAATCCTTTCATGTCACTACAGTTCATCTGAAAGAACTGAAGGATCTTGAGCTTTTTTTTAGCAGTATAAAAATAATTATACATCTCTATGACTCGTGTCACAATATTATTAACAGCTTTGTTGCATCTGTAGCGATTAAACATATCCACTGAATAATAGGGGAGAGGAGAGGGGGGGAGAGAGAGGGGGTCATTGACTTTGTACATGACATGCAGGGGAGTCACTTACTTGGTACATACATTTTAGGGGGGTGGCACTCATATTGTACATGCTTCTCCATAAAAATCATCATCACCCATCCCCCTTGCCATAAATTATGAACGGTCCCTTAGGCTTATACTGAGTTGATCATTCCATGAACAGCCAGGAGGTGGGGCGAACAATGATAAAAAATGCCTGTGGTCTTTGATAAAGGTTATTTTGTTGTTTAATGCCACATTCTGTAGATATGATGTAAATTGGTTGGTTGGTTTGTTGTTTAACGCAGCACTCAGCATTATTTCAGCTTTATGGTGGAGGTCTGTAAATAATCGAGTCTGGTCCAGACAATCCAGTGATCAACATCATGAGCATTGTTCTACGAAATTGGATATGATGACACGTGTCAACCAAGTCAGCGAGCCTGACCACCCATTCCCGTTAGTCACCTCTTACAACAAGCATGGGTTACTGAAGACCAATTCTAACCCGGATGTTCAGGGATGGTGTCCTGTAAATACCTGATATGACTTGACTTACAACACTGACATTAGGAACATTAGGAACATTGACACTCATTGAATACATTATAGTCTGCCAACCGATAAATGATGTTCTCGAACAGCCATCATGGGAGCTGGTGACCTCATCCAAATGGGAATCTCCACCATGATTACAACCACCGAGAGGGCAGTCTGGTCTCAGGATGCTTTCGGTACGATTCCTGCTACATCTCGGAGAAACCACAATGGTTGTCAGGAGTACGCATGTCAGGAATCAAACCCTGGTCTAAGACAAGTGGCAAGGCTTTAAAGACTGGGCTAGCACAGCACACTGAGAGGTATGAACATATCAGGAAAACTTCATTTTATAATCCAATATTGCTGGAGAGGATGCACCTACTAACAGCTGTGTGTGGCCAGGTAGAACTAATTTAAGCTGCTTCAATACATGACATGATGCATATGAAACAAGAATATTCTTAGATGCTTGATTGGCACTATAGAAGATGCTATTTGCTGAACGTAAAGAATATTGCTTGGATTACATCTTCTTTTCATTCTTAATAAAATAAAAATAGAATAAAAGAACACGTAATCCAGAAAATTCTTTATTTTCAAGAATATTCATGTAGGCCATTCATATGTTATATATATGTATGTCTTATCTCTTAGCTCAACCCTCAAGAGAGCATGTGGGAGATGTCCTCTAATTGTGTGTCTTGTTTATAACATTTAGATTCCATGGTCATAGTTTCTAAATCATTCACAACAGTTTTTTCATAAATGTAGTTACAAAAAAAAGATCAAATTAACCTGGATATTGTGAGTGTGATACCGTAAAAGTATTTTTTGTTATCACCTTATGGCATAAATTTCTGGGCAGTGGGGTGGCCTTGTGGCTAAAGCGTTCACTTGTCACGCCGAAGACCTGGGTTCGATTCCCCACATGGGTACAATGTGTGAAGCCCATTTCCGGTGTCCCCTGCCATGATATTGCTGGAATATTGCTGGAATATTGCTAAAAGCGGGGTAAAACTAAACTAACTAAATCAGAAATTTCAACAGCAGTGGGGAACATTGACATTTTTATTATTTCAAGTTGGGGCGAAAAATTCTGGGCAGACAGGAGATTGGAAACAGAAGAAAATTCTGATCAGCTTTAGTCTTAACTATAAAATGAATGAAATAAATGAAAAAACATTAGCACTGTCATTACCAAAGCACTTTTTCACATATGTAATATTTTCTTAAAACATATTCTGTGAGAACATCTGGTTATGTCAAACACATATATACACACAAATAACAATAAACAAATTCATTTATCACAAGACCAGTAAGATGGTTATGACATTCAGGCAGACATGATCCAAAACCTAATAACACCTCATTGTATGCTACTAAACATTTGCTAAGTAAATCAGCCAAACTACCATCTAAGTCCCAGGTGCGGCCCTTACCAGATGTTGAACTGTATTGTAATCCATGTTGTGAGGATGTTGTGAAATATACTTCACTTCTGTTTCCTCTTAACAAGTAGTTACATAAAATTCCCCTGCTGTTAGTTGATTATAATAATAATATTCTTAGGATGTATATTTATAATGCACCAAACCCACACCCTAAAGTAATATCAGGTTCTATATCAAGGGCGGATCCAGGAATTTTGAAAGGGGGTGGGGTGTGGGGTGTGGGGTGTGTGGTGTGTGGTGTGTGTGTTCAGGGTGTTCAAAAAAAAATAAATCTTCAATGTGGTCTTAAGTTATTTTCAAAAGGGGGGGTTTGAACCCCCTGAACCCCCCCCTCTGGATACGCCAGTGTATATTACTACCCCAGCCAGTTGATCAGTGTACACCCAATGGTCAATCTCACCTCTATGGGACCAACCATTTCATATACAGGGAGGGGTGGTGGACACTGCTGTTGTTCATTTTCAAAGAAACAAATTTCAATTAACTGTACAAACTTGATATTACCTGATATTCTGTACATAATATGTTGTTCCGACATAGAAATACTCTTGAAGCAATGACTGAATTTAATATTTGAACCTTTAAGAAATCTGAGGGCTCCCCAACACCCCCTCCTGAATACTACATGGTATGCCCCTTAGGATGTACCACTATGACATTATGGAGGGCAACAAATTAGCCAAATCTTGATGGGTCCATGATCACTGGATTTTTTTACAATAAGCAGGCCGTTATTATTGTTTTCACCGGGTCACGAACGTATTTTCAACAAAAATAGGAAAAATCAATTCCAGTTTAATCTATATTTTTCTTTGATGATGAAATCATAGTTTCTGAAATTATCCTCAATGACATAAATGTATTGTTTTATTCCACATTCATATTTCATCAATCAGCTGTAACAGATTCCAGGTATAATAACTCTAGAGTTATGTACCTTAACAAACAGAGAGTTATGTCCCTTGACAAACTGAGTGTTGAAACTGACTCCAAGTAAAAGTAAATCTCTTGCACACTTGTGCAAATCAAGAATCAAAGTTTTTACACTGAGGTCTTTCTCCAACATCTGACTCAATATGTGCTTACTATGATGTAAAATCTTGGCTGACAAATATACAACTTTCACTTCTAACTCTGAGAGTAAAACTCTGGATATGGCTTATCAAATCTTTGTGATAAGATTAATAGCTTGATTTTATGATTTCTTCAACCTAAAGTATCACCCTTTTGAATCATTAACGCTGAAATTTTACACACATCAAGGTTGTCTCCCTTGAAAGATCGAGCAGCTGTCTGATGTCTGATCAGCTGACAGAGAAGTCGAAATAGTCAATGGCTGGAGCGGTTGGGGTTCTCTCTCTGCGGTTATGGGACGGGGAGTTGGTCTCCAGCTTCACCACGTTGGATGCTGGGGAGCCTTGCCTGAAAGTTGAAAATCAAGAGCATGAATTTCTTACAAACTAATTACTTCATTTACAAAACCTGTGGTCTAAAGTTTCATGTCAACAACCTCACAGTACACAGGGCCACCTCTGTGGTGTAGTGGTTAGAGCGTCCTTTTGGAGAGACGAAGGTTGTGGGTGTGAACCCCAGGCCACGTCACACCAAAAGATGTTATAATATGGTACTTGTTGGCTCCTGCCCGGCGCTTGGTATTAATGGATACAACAAGGACTGGTTGACTCGGAGTCAGTTTAATGTGTCTGTGTGGGGTATTCATGCTTAACTGCGGCATGGTATTGTGTGTATGTGTTTGTGCGGCTGCTTCTACTAGCCCAGACTGACGCTGGTTTTATAGTGCTAGCTCACTGAGATACCATGCCGCAGTGAAGCATGAATACCCCACACAGACACATTATACTGACTCCGAGCCAACCAGTCCTTGTTGTACCCATTAATGCCGAGCGCCAGGCAGGGACCAACAAGTACCATATTTTAACGTCTTTTGGTTAAACCGGCGACCTTCCGCTCTCCAGGTGGACGCTCTAACCACTACACTACGGAGGCAGTCAAATGGGGTTTTAAGTCACTAGGTATGAAGAAGCTCTAAACAGATATATTATTTCTGTCATGTGTTGAAAAATGCCCAATCTTGTCAATAGTCATAGACCTGTATCTTGCACAAACTTATATGAACAGTAATCCTAGTGGTCGATAGTGTGAGCAGTGTCAGGGTATGTTAAAATCTTTATAAAACACATACCAGTGTTAATATTGGGCAGTGGAACTTCCTCAAACTAACCTTGGCTCACTGGATTGCTGGAAGTGGGGTATTGGAGGTGGTGCCGTGCGGCAGTGTTCACGCTGCACCAAAGTGGTCAAAGTCGCATTGGGCAGCCAACACTTGTCCCTGGAAGTAAACACAAGTTGTTGAAAAGGGAGAATAAATACAGGAGAGGCATGTTTAACCTTTGAAGGGTTAGTGAGATATCTGGGTAAATAAATACATTCAAGCATATACACCATACTTCAGCACCTACCTTTTTGCAATTGCAACCACATTCTTGTTAGGTTCCGAATCATAACTTTGTGTCTCACAACCGTAGAACTCTGCCAGCTCATGCACAAGATGGCGCTGATCCCGGTTCATTGGACTGAAGGCGTGGCTCCGAGTTGCATGCTTTGACTGAAACAAACAAATTGCCAGATACTATCATCTTAAAATATCTTGGATAGACAGATGAGTGAGTGAGTTTAGTTTTACGCCGCACTCAGCAATATTCCAGCTATATGGCGGCGGTCTGTAAATAATCGAGTCTGGACCAGACAATCCAGTGCTCAACAACATGAACATCGATCTACGCAGTTGGGATACAATGACGTGTTAACCCAGTCAGCGAGACTGACTGACTGAGTTTAGTTTTACACCACTTTTAGCAATATTCCAGCAATATCACGGCGGGGGACACCAGAAATGGGCTTAACACATTGTGCCCATGTGGGGAATCGAACCCGGGTCTTCGGCGTGACGAGCCAACGCTTTAACCACTAGGCTACCCCACCGCCCCCAGTCAGCGAGAAGGACCACCCGATCCAGTTAGTCGCCTCTTACGACAAGCATGGGTTACTGAAGATCAATTCTAACCCAGACCTTCACGGGTGATAGACAGATGAACAAACACACATTATAATCGTGTAACTATGCTCTAAGCTATCACACCATCTCGAGGCTTGATGTTGTGATGAGGACAATGTATCAAACTGAGGCATTTCCTTCATATAACAAACGTTACAATGATCTTCTGTGATGAAGTTCAGCAGACAAAGACAGTCTATTAACCTGAGCAAAGTCTCATTTACATAGAACTAAAATGACAGTAATCTACTAAAACACTGGTAGTACAGTGCTGCATATTGATTCTGATGTTACTGACCAATAGGCAAATTAGGCAATATTCACATATGCACCTGGAGTCAAATGTAATAGGCTACAGGACTTTATTGTGTGATTGCAGCAAAGGTGTAATATATGTAAAATGGCCAATAAGGCTTATGGGGGTAATACAATTTCTACCACTTGATCAAAACTAAGCATTCAGACTGGTCAAACAGAGGCAGTGTGCAAAATAGTTTCCAAAGTTTGCTTGCCAGTTGGGCTAGATGCCTGAAAGTTACTAGCCCATAAAATAATTCACTTGCGAGAAATTTGAATGTAGAAACTAAGCAAAAGATAACAAAAATAGATGAGAATAAGATAATGTCGGCATGACATGGGTTTCATCATTAAGCTCCTAATATGATGAACATTGTTATCAGGCCATAATCTTGCATGATTTAAAAGTGTATTAACTTAAAGATTACATATATACTCTAGTGGGGCACAAATACATAAATCACGAATTGGCATCGTTATAAATGAAACCCCGTCATTAAAACTACTCATTTCGATCTTTAATTAACTTTAATCGACCGTTTTGACAACAGTGCACAATTCTCACCCACGAACAAAATTTCAACCAATCAGAGCGGCGCGTCTCTGTGACGTCATATGAGGAATAGGTATGAGGGCCGATGCAGAATTCATGTACATTTCAGGGGGTAAATTATCTTGTTTACAGGTTTGTATAAACCTGAAATCGTGACAACTGTTGTGAAAAATGAAAGCCAGAGCTACAGATAACTTTTTGGGTCAATGAGTTATGTACTCACTTGTGTTCATCTCAATTGGGTATCCTAATTCTTCTTTGAGTAACCAAATAAATTGTACTCACCTCACTCAAACTCAGTTGGGTATTTTGCCATTTTCCATTAAATTTGAAAATATAGTGAAGATTAAAAGTTAATGTTTGTTATTTATATTTGATCTGTAATATGAGAAACGATAAGAAAGACGGCACGTTGTCAAGTTCATGTCCTGAAACAGAACCTCTCAGTATACTTCAGTTATTTTATCTATCCACCGGTATGCAAGCTAAGATTTGACATTTTTGTGTGTACGCATGTAAGATCACATTCATAGTATTTACAAAATTTCAAGCGTACTTGTACGCAATAGACTGAATAGAAATTGAGTTTTCACATAAATATTTGCGTAATTTACGCAGATATCGCAGCTTATCTGTACCTCTGGAAAGCTATATGTTCTCACAATCTACTGTCACTTAATTTTGTCTCCTGCTTTGCCTAGTTTCCGAGTTACAACTTGTTTTCATAGACGATTCTGTCAAAATCGCTTGGTGTCGCTAGGCCTTATTTGTTCGAGCCAGATGCTAGTGATAGCTGAAAACGATGATCAACCTCGCTTATCTCGGTTACGGTTAATTTCTTGAACTTAAACAGTGTGACATTAAGAAGGGTGGATGCCCATCAGATGCAGTTATTTGAACATATCCCTGGTAGTTCTTGTCTGATTGTAATAAAGTATCAAAGCAGTGTGGGCTTTTTCAGGTTTTCTAATGCCTGGATGGTATAATGACTGATCCAAATTGATCCCATTTCTGTGTTATTTTTAACCTCGATATTTAATCATGTCATGTAAAAATATGACGTCTATTACATATGATATTAAAAATTGACATTTGATTTATTTGAATCCATAAACTAAACAACCCTACTTAGCCATTGCTAGAAGAATCTGAAAATTTAATTAGGTAAATAGGTACATACAGTTTTAGCACACAGCAAATGCTTATATGTATTTCTTATGCAACAATGAAGTTCTGTTCGTATTCTCAAAACAGTGTCGGCCCATAAGTTTTCACATGCAATTATAATTGCATGCAATACAGCAATTAATACTCCCTTGTTGTAACCCGTGTTAGGTGGTATAAACCTACACGTTATTTGTCATCATTCACTTGATGGTCAGTTAATGAATTTATAACAGATATAATTAGTGGTAACACCACACAGATTACCCGACAAAGCTTCCCATTTGGCATTTCTTGTGTCTGGAGTAAATACTCAACATTATAAACATAGATCAAAGGATTAACCGATAACACGCTGATTGATTAATTACTTTTATCTTACACAGTGGATTTGTCAAAAAGGTAGTGTTTATGTATGTAGATTTACTAATCTATACTGAATACACTCTTGTCGTGTCTGTGTCTGCGTAAAAACAACGTCCTTCTTTCAAAGGATTAACCGCCAATACATTGATTGATTGCTCATTATTGGCTTACTAAATTACTTTTTTTTTATAGAATGGCGGACATTATGCAATTAGTTGCCAGGTGTGCTATCTTGGGTGACCAATGAGACTATACACCAATGTGACATACCTGAAACGATATATCACTTTTTCGTATATTAGACTGTTAAAAAGACACATCACTTGGAACAGCTGCAGATGAATGACATATCACTCGTTTTTTGTGGATATTGATGGATACATTCCTCGAACAAGGTAATAGCCTGACATTGTTCCTACAACTTTAATCTGTTTTAATTTGAATATTTGCATTTTGTTTTTATTCATTTGTCGTAGCATTCAACAGAATCGTTGTTTTCGCCGTGAAGTGTACTGGGACAGACAACATACACTAGGGCGTGTGCGCAAATTGTGATTCACATTGGCAACTATAAAATGTCTAGATATTACAGTCCTGTTATAAATGCACTATAAGTATTAGCAGATCGTCTGCTCTTTAATCAGTTTCAAAATGCATACAAGTATGAAAATAAACTAATTAGGATTATAAGACCAAATATAAAGACGTACATTGACTAATATCTACATACTGGTGAGTGGATGTTAACCACGTGAATTTAGCAAGAAATTTATCGCACAGTATTGTCACTTCGATCCCCACCTCGCTTCCGTGGGAGAAAACGTTATGTCATAAGTTGTGTCATGCAAAAGCCTTTTGGTCATGATTCAAATACATATTTAACTACGAGTAGAAAGTAGTTTTGATTTTCTAACTTGATGAAAACAAACAATAATCTCATTATTTCTAACAGACTTTATCCCGTGACTTTACGATTTTCAAAAATGGCGGCTCCCTGTCGTGAACATCAGCCAGTCTGAGGATAAATGCTATTAAGTTTGTTTTCACCGAGTTACAAAATCAAAACTGCTTTCTACTGGTAGTAAAATATGTATTTGATGGATGGCCAATAGGATTTTGCATGACATAGCTTATAACATAACAATTTCTCTCGTGGAAGCGAGGTGGGTGTGAATATAATACTACTTGTTACTTCGACCACAACCTCGCTTCCGAGGAATAAATCGTTCTGTTACAAGTTGTGTCATGGAAAATCTTTATGGTCATCAATTATATACATATTTTACTACAACTAGTAAGTAGTTTTGATTCTTTAACTTCCAAGAAGCGATCTAAACACAAGTAAGATATCGTTTCAGGCTTCCACAATGTTCGTTTCGCACCAACAAACATAACCCATTTAGCACGAACTGTGGGGTCCTGTGGAAATCTGTGCATGGTGACACCATCCCCCGACCCCTAGGAGCAATTGACGACAACACAACGATTTGGCATGTCTTCGTTGATGTCGAGAAATCATCAAAATGACGAGCGTGCTACACACTTCATAAACAACTAACTGCAAATTCTTCCTCATATGACGTCTCTGCAGTGCTCAGCGACAGAGTTACGTAACCTGTCTGTGGTTTCGTTGGCGGGCGAGAGTGAAGCAGGCGACTTTTTGGCAACTTTTAATCGCTCGGTATTAATTAACCACAAGTTTTTTAAGAATGAATTTGGTGTTCCGCATAAGACTAACCACAAATCTTTCATGTGTAATAGTTAAAAGAGTAAAAAAAACCCCAAAGTTTATTTGTTCTTTAACAAGTTGGAGAGAGTGATATATTTACAAAATGACCCCATGAAAATTCACAGGCCAGTCTGGCCAGTGACTCTGGAAATTTAATGGCCCGACTGGACTTTTACTAGCCACGGGCTAATCTGCCAGTGGCTATTTCGCACACTGAACAGAGGCATTGAAATCCATGCTTTGCTTCATGAGTACACCATGTACCACAAATGAAAACATTTATTAAATGTCACATTAAATACCAGTCAATTTTGAAATTCACAACACACACACAGCTCAGATTGGAATGTTATTTCCAGGTATCAAACTCTCACTAGATATGCTTTCAGATTTGGAACCTCACACCTGTGTGATTTAGCATGACATTTAAAAGTTTCACGTGTAAAATGTGAAACTTCACTACAGAGAAAACAGTAGATTTTAAATTAAATTTATCTTTGTTGGAATAGAAATGACTCACTTGTTTCGCAGAGTGTACAAGATCTGCCAGTGCCTTCTCCACATCTGACACAAACTTAGGGTACTTCCTGCAAAAGGAAACATATACGTGTTTGAGAAATGCTACACAGGATATGTCAGCCAATGTCTTTCTACACTCGCATAACCTTGATTCGTGGATATAAGGGAAGTGCGGCGAAAATCATATTTTAAATGCACAATTTCATTTTGTATGCTCACTGATTATTTTATTTATTGATTCAGCAAATTGAAAATGCCTATTATTCCACTTGTGAATGAAACGTTTGTTTACGGAAGCCATTTGCAATCATCACCCATTCATGTGCCCACAACATGTGACGTCATCTTGTTTCGTGGATTACGTAGTCGGTTACAATATATTACTATGTTCGACAGCACAGTATTGACACCTAGGAAAGCAGATGATGAGACATGAGAAGGTTGGTGCTAACGGTATCTTCTTTACTTAACATTTTGTAAAAATAAAATATGGTATTGATGGCATTAGTGATCTTGAGCTATTTATCTCAGTGCTGGACAAATATTTTTTGTCAGCAAGAAGTGGCATTGTACGTACACCAAAAGTACCGCTCCGTGACATCATACAAGACTTAATTTACAAGACAGCATGATAATTACCACAATCCACGAATCAGGCTATCCACAAATTTAGGTTATCGTTCTGTCTATATATATTACACAAAAGAAGTTAAAATACACCAGATTCTTTACAACATGTTAAAGAACTTCAACAGACAGTTCTTTCAGATAATGAAAGAATCAGGTGTTGCTTAACTTCTTTCGAGTAGTATTGTTTGTTTGTTTGTTTGTTTTTTTTATTTCCATTTTTATGTTACAATTTCCATTACAGCAGCTTTATGTTCTTCAATTGCAAGAATTATAATTGTACAGCGAGTAGTGTTGATGTAAATACATAATGTGTACATTACCTCTTATATATATAGTACACATATATACAAAATACATGTAGTTACAGTCTGTCAGTTATAGTATTTCGAAAAAGTAAATGGAAGGATGACCAGAAAGAATGAAAACTTGCATAGTTACAATTAGAAAAGGCAATAAATTTTGAGATTTCATAATATTTTAATACTTCTTTTTGAAACCATATAAAATTAGGTTTCACTGCTTTCTTACTACATTTGTACAACATATAATTGATTATTATTATCACCACATTAAGAGGATTATTATGTTTACCTTTAAATCCAAATAATATATGTTCTTCACTTAAGTGAATTTTACTTTCGATGTATCCTTACTTTCGATGTATCCTAATATGGCCGATAAAACAATACTTTTGAGTAGTATTGTTTTGTCGGCAATATTAGGGCAGTATCAGACCTTTCAATCAATGATTCACAGCATAAGCAAAGATGAACAGGATATTAGGAAACATCCACCAAGTCATATGACTGGCCTTCATAAGTCAGTGTTGGTGGTTAGGATGACAAAAAAACATCTTCAAAATGTACCAGGAAGAGAAAGGTCAGTCTCACAAGATTCAACCTGTCACATGTTTAGTTTGACATTTAATTTGAAATTCTTTGGAAGTTTGGAAAAACTTCCTTTTAGAGAAGCATCTTTTATGCTAGTGTTCAAAGCTTTCTAATACTATTGTACAGTAGAAAGGCCTTTGATAGTGATCCTGCTATGTTACTGGGACAATGACATGTCAATATAAGTGTTCAAAAGACTTATTTCAACTGCAGCAAAAGCTTCAATGAAACGTGAATCATGAAAATGTCATTTGTCACCAACAAACTCACCGCTCCTAACCATGACTGTCACTTACTTGGCAAACTCTTTGAGGAAATCAGAGAATGTAGGGTTGCCGAGTTTCCCTTGGAAGTCTGGGTTCTTGATCTCCAAGGCAAGTGCTACACGGCGGTTCCGTTCGATGATGGCACACTCAGCATCACAGTCCAAGCTAGAAGAAGTGATTCTCTATCAATATACCAACAACATTAGACTGATAAGTCTACTTCTTGAACACTATTGAATAATATCACGGTGTGTCAGCTTGTTAAATGAAAGCCTGAAGTCATACATGTCTCAGTTTATCAACATAACATATGTCTTGGTACAGACAAACCCAAATGAATTGGGGTCCGAACCCATGAACATAGTTCTCTTGCATGCATACATGACAAACCACTGCACATAAAGAGGCAATAGAGGTGGGGCAACCAGATAATGTAGTGGATATAATATCAGGAGTGGGCAAGTGAATGTAACTGACAAGTCCAGGTTTTAGAATAGAAAGGCGATATTTGCCTCCAGTTGTTTCAGGTTATAAAGAGTCTACATGAGTCTACAAAGACATCTCCCAGAAGAAAACAGCTACATCAATGAGACTGACTACTGTGAGGCTTACTCCTTTCTCAGCAAACAAACCACTGGCTAACAAGACAGTGAGACACTTGGTATTAGCTGGATGCAGCATAACATACCTCCGTTGTCCGCCCTTCATGGCACTCGCCAACTTGGCCATGTCCATGACACGCCCACTGGACAGCTGCTGAACGGTCACCCTGGAAACACAACACATGGTCAGTGACAATCTACAGGTATCTTCTGTAAAGTGGGTAACCGGGCTTTCTAAAAGATGTATAGGTGTGCCCTCTAGTGGTGTTCCGATTAATTGAAATAATCGAAGATTGGTCGCAGTGGCCAAACGACCAAGCAATCGATCACATTTTCTCATAATCGAACACAAACGATTTTGGAACTGCTGTAATAGAGTTTGAAATACTTGGTGATGGAACATATCTAGGACGTTGTCAGGGCTGGAAATACTTGATGATGGAACATATCTAGGACTTTGTCAGGGCCTGAAATACTTGATGATAGAACATATCTAGGACGTTGTCAGGGCCTGAAAACGTCTTTAATTCTTAGAAAACTTTATAGAAAAAGTTTATGTTACACTGGAACTGAATCATTTTCCACTGGATGTGAAATTTGCAAATGTAATTTGTGCAGTTTCTAAATATAAAAAACCAAAAACAGAGAACCAAATGTTTTTTTCTTTATACTTGTGTCCAACAACAACCTGAATAGGGAAATCTGAAAAATGACGCTAACCAATTTTTTTCGATGATTGGTCGTTGGTATCGAACCAATCATCAATTGTGAGATTTCAACCAATTCCCAACACTAATGCTCACTGAAATTAGTTACTGATAAGTGGACCCAGAACAATACTAACTACCATCCATCTTCAATATGGTGAAGATCCGGGTTAGAATTGGTTTCAACAAACCATGCTTATCATAAGGGGAAGGTAAAAGGATCGGGTTGTCAGCCTTGCTGACTTGGTTGACACATGGCATCTTATCCCAATTACATAGATTGATGCTCATGATGTTGACCACTGGATTGTTTTGTCAACTTGATCATTTACAGACCACAGACATATAACCTGAATAATGCTGAGTGGGACGTTAAACAACAAACAAACAATCAAACAAATACATGAAAGGTGAGACTGGGTCTCTTATAAAGGAAGGGTGAGCTTAAACCTTTTATACAGGAAGGGAGAGTTTGGCCACATATAAAGGATGGGTGAAATTTGGCCACATATACATGACAGGACAGTTTGGGCAACATAAAGAGGACACATGAAACTGGCCCACATATACAGTCAGTACGCGAGACATTCTTACTTCTGGTACTCGGAGATGTTTGTGTTGTCCCCGCCCTGTAGACAGGGCACCCTGGCACTGCGATGGCCGCACGGACACTTGATGGTGATCTGCAACAGATGGATACTTGAAGTCACATGCTAGATACAGTCAGAGGACAAGAGTCTCAGACTGTGACTTGTTGTCAAGACTTATCATGGGTATTGTCAGAACCCCAGAGTCGGACTGATTCAGACACAACATACATATTCCTTGTACAAAATGAGTTGAAAGACTAAAAACTTAACACTAAGAACTTGTGTTAATGATCAGTGAGTGAGTGAGTGAGTGAGAGAGCGAAATTCCAGCTTAAACACTACATCCTATGAATAATACTTTCAGAAAAAATGTGTTACACTATCAAATAGAGCCTGGATTCTTATGTCAATGCCACATTCTAAAATATTTATCCTACTTTGGGCTGATCCTTGTGTACCTCTAAAGTTCAAGTTTTGCAGCTGTCTATGAGTTGAGAGAAAAAGGAGTGAGTGAGTTATTATTTAACGTCACATCGGCAATATTTCAGCCATATTGTGATGAGGAGAAAAAGGACTTTATCATCCCAAACTGTGTTCCACAGGAGATATTGCTTGTGAGAGATCATACGATATCTCCTAGGAGCTATCATTTTGACAGTAGATTGTGTACAATGGCCTGACAATGCTATGACATCATGAATTTGACGACATCGCTGCACTGCAAGTCTAATGGCAGAACCGTGTTCAGAGATGTACAGTTTTCATTGAAAACTAATGAAGAGTGATTTTTTATGATAAATAGAACCTCACCCTCGTGTCTTCTGATATCAAATATATCAACACTCCTTGATAAAAGTAAAAATATCCTCGGCAAGCCTCGGATATTTGTAACTTTATCAACTCGTGGTGATATATTTGATATCAAAAGACACTCGGGTGAGATTCTCTATTTATCATGATCACATGTATTCATAACTTACCTCAGCTTTACAAGGCACTTTAGGACAAGCATCATCGGGATGACAGGGAACTGCACAAGGGTGGTCACACCCCTCCCTCTTCCTGACACACGGCTGTGTACACACGTCCCCTTCTCTCTCACAGTCTCCCTGTAACACCATACAATACATGGCTTGTTATCTTGCCTCACACATTAATGTCGTTTTCTGATTGGCTGAGCGCTCTTCTGTTATTTTCAATGTACCCCGCTTACAAGTAAGTAACATTTTCTATGTACCCCGCTGGAAATGCCGAACTCATCTGGTACTTTGTGGTAGTAATTCTTTATCTCGAATAACATTGAATCACGTATAATGAACAGAAATTACTGATGTTTTGCAAATGTAAATCGATGGAAGGGAGATAACTCTAAATTTGTTTTTCTTGTCGTCTTGTACTCCATACTATGATCCGATACCCGTGCTTCAAGCAGTTCAAAATTACAATTGAGGTGTTCGGTAAGATAAATACATTGTTCACTGGTCCCTCGGGGCCCATGGGTTGACGTGCCTTCGGGCTCAGGGAACATAAACAAACATCGAGGGTACATCAGCCCATGTCCCCTCGAGACCAGTGAACAACTTCAAGGTGATCGTAAGTCCTTTATCACAGACAGATGTAGGGCAAAGGTTGTTTTTGTACTCAATTGCACATATGGTTGATAGGATCAATAATAACATAAGACACAGGGACATTTGTCACTGTCTTTTACTTTGCTGTTGTGATATGCATGAGGCACTGTTGATCTAGGACGAGTGGAAAATTGACACTGGATACTTGGAAGTCTCCAATCCATCCTGACTAAGTAATTGAGATTGATTTTACACTGCTTTTAGAAAAATTCTTTTTATGCAATTTTCAATATCACAGCGGAGGACACTAGAAATGGGCTTCCCATACGGTATCCCACTGGTGCCCCGACGAAGGTACCGACCCGTAAAGATCCAGCCCCGATTTCTAGAAACAAACTGAGTTTGACAATTTGAAACAGCTGAATTCTTAACTCGACTGCATTTTCTAAATAAAAAAGCCCAAACAACTTAAGTACCGGTAATCTATCCACCAAACTCAAATTGTCTACTATGTTTGAGTTTAATATCGATTTCAGTTTATTCTGCGAAATGCATTTTCTCAAATTTGAGTAAAACTTTAACTTAAGTCAAAAAGTTTGTTTGTTTCGAGAAATCAGGGCCTGGTGTTCGAATTGGTCTTCAGTAACCCATGCTTACGGTGGTGACTAACAGGATCGGGTAGTCAGACTCGCTGACTTGGTGTTGACACATGTCATCATATCCAAGTTGCGCAGATCGATGCTCATGCTGTTGATCACTGGATTGTCTGGTCCGGACTCAATTATTTACAGACCGCCGCCTTATAGCTGGTATATGGCTGAGTGCGGAGTTAAACAACGAACAGAGTGCTGTGAACCTGCTGATGGGGCTTACCTTGTGACAGATACGCAGACACTTGTGTATCCCACATGTTAGCAGTTTACCACACGGTAGCCCACAGGATATGTCGGTCATGTGACACGGGATGTTCTTGCGAGTCTGAATCAGGAAATGTTTACAGCTCAATGAAATGACTGACTGACAAAACAGATAAAAATACCTATGAACATAGAAAGTGAGTGAGTGAGTTAGTTTTACGCCGCTTTTAGCAATATTCCAGCAATATCACGGCGGGCGACACCAGAAATGGGCTTCACACATTGTACCCATGTGGGAATCGAACCCAGGTCTGCAGCGTGATGAGCAAACACTTTAACCACTTGGCTACCCCACCACCCATTGAGTTTGTGACCTGTGTTCAATGCTGCTTGCAGAGCGGTGGGGTAGCCTTGTGGTTAAAGTGTTTGCTCATCACGCTGAAGACCTGGGTTCGATTCCACACATGGGTACAATGTGTGATGCCCCTTTCTGGTGTTCCCCGCTATTGATATTGCTAAAAAGGCATAAAATATACTTATACTAAAATTCAGTGCATAAAACAGTATTTCACTTCTAAGATGGCAAGTCAACTCATGGTCAGAAAGCACAAAGTGAAGGCGATCAAAGATGTACCATTTTGCAAACCTAGCTTGGGTATGGTGCTCACAAACACATTAAGAAACACAGATGACTTTTGAATAAGCACAGTATTTATACATTTTTGAATACGTAGTTAAATCAGTTAGCATCTAGCCTTAATGATGACACACTTATATAATAATATGTTCCTGTAAGGAACCCGTGAAGGGTTGGGTTAGAATGAACCTTCAGTAACCCATGCTTGGCAACTAACGGGATCGGGTGGTCAGGCTCGCTGACACATGTCATCGGTTCCCAATTGCGCAGATCGATGCTCATGCTGTTGATCACTGGATTGTCTGATCCAGACTCGATTATTTACCGACTGCTGACATATAGCTGGAATATTGCTGAGTGCTGCGTGAAACTAAACTCACTCACTCACTCCTGTAAAGAGCTTGTGATCTTACCTCATGTCCTCCCATACACAGCTTCTCTGTCAGCTGAGTGCAGGGTGGGCACACACTGTCACTGTGGCAGTTATGGCGAACTGTAGACAACAGAATGTAGATGTTATAACAGTATAATAACATTACAAAACAATTAATTCTGAGTTTAAATGAGTGTGTTTAACATAGTTTGTGGAGTGACATGCAGAGAGGCAATGTGGATCTGTTTCAGGTCAGCTTTCAAACAATTTAAACCAATGAACTCAGGTACTGAGCAGACAAAACAGAGATCAAGGATCATCTGATCCTATCACAGCTAAGGGAGGCAACTCAACATAGGGTAAGAGACAACTGGGCCCAGTTCCCTGAAAATGGTCATACTAGAAATGACACAGGAGGAAGACCAACTCACCTGGATGTTGACAAGTGTGGGTTCGGACACAGGTTCTGTGACACTCTGGTGGGCGTGTACCGCATGGTATGGGAGGGAAGATGATCTCAGCTCCACAGTGGCATGATAGCTCGTCAAAACCTGACAGATTTTACACAGTAACTTGAACATAACAGCAACTAAACACTGATTTTGAGACATGTGTGTCATTGCTGTAGAGTTGTCAGGTGCTGGTTGTGTACAATTTGATTACCATATTTGCTGTAATAGGCATCCAGGCACTTAATAATATTTACTTCTAAAAACCCAAATCTAGCCTATAAATTTGTGTTCAGAGATTCTGCATAAGGGAACAATTTTTTTTTTCACACATCCATTGATAGGCTATGAACTTATACTTTCTCTCAGTAATAGTTACAAGGCAATCATATATAGCCTCTGTACTGCTGTTTCCTATATAAAATGTGACACACAAAATTAAAAATGGACTGATCAGTCTTATTAGAAAGCACATTTAAAGATTAATAACAGATAAGTCTAGAAGTTAGACCGGGGCTTTAATTGAAGCAGGGTACTACAGGGGCGGATCCAGAAAAGTGTGTGTGTGTGCTCATGCACGCACGCACTCACGCGCACACACACACACACACACCATCTCCTTTCAAAATCCTGGATCCGCCCTGGCACTCAATACTGTGTATACCGTATGGAGGTATGTACTGTTAAAGACTTACCTGCAACAAGACAGGGCTGACAGTTGCCACGGTGACACAGTGCCTTACACTTATGGCGGCCACACTTGAGCTTCTTGCTGCATGTCACTTCACAGATGTGAATATCTCTCTGGAAAACACAGATAAACCAGAGATTTAGCCAGTGAAAAGAATGCATCACACAGGCATTGAAATTGAGAACATATGAGTCTTTGGGATGCAATACGTATACGTTGATGAAAATATGATTACTAAGTCATGAGCACAAGTCATAAAAAAATAATTGTGAACTTTAAACTTTGTCTGTGTGTCTAACCATAGAATAATGCTTAGTCCCTGAATATATGTAATTTTGGTGGTAACAAATAGACTCATTTAAATTGAAAAGGAGCCCAGTGGGTTTGGAGATTAGGAACCTGGGGAAATCTAGACTTGCTTCATTTAGGGCTTTAGCATTGTAGGGAAGATTAGGCAGCAGGGAAAATAATGTGATTCAGGGACTGTGAGACCACTGCTTAACAGAATAGATTGTCATTTCTTTCTGTGTATGTAACATGAAATAGCTAATATATAGTCTACTGAGCATGTGATTCATGCCTTGAGCTCCCGAAAGATTCTTACCGTACAGCAGGTTTCAGTGCATTTGTGACGACTACACAACTTCTTCTTAGTGCAACGCCGCTCACATTTGTAAGGTTTATCAACTACAAAACACAAGTAAATATAAATAATCTACATTGTTTGTTTGCTGTTTGATTTGGACATAGCAATATACCACTTATATCACGATGAGTGAGTTGAGTTTTATGCTGCACTCAGCAATATTCCAGCTATATGGCAGCGGTCTGGACCAGACAATCCAGTGATCTACAGCATGAGCATCTATCTACGCAATTGGGATACGATGACATGTGTCAACCAGCAAGCCTGACCACCCGATCCTTTTAGTCGCCTCTTACGACAAGCATGGGTTACTGAAGATCAATTCAAACCTGGATCTTCATGTCTGTATCAGATAAACCTGAGCGAGAATGAGTGATTGAGTGATTTGGGTTTTACCCCATTTTTAGCAATATTCAAGCAATATCATGGCAGGGGACACCAGAAATGGGCTTCTAACATTCTATTCATGTGCGGAAACGAACCCATGTCTTCGGCGTGACGAGCGAACGCTTTAACCACTAGGCTACTGTCCCACCTGAGGTGGTGGGGGAATTGGGTTTAACGTCGTTCTTGAGAATATTTCGCTCATATGACGACGTGCATGCGTGTGTTTGTGTATGTGCGGGTGCTTGTACTAGCCCAGACTTAAGCTAGTTTTATAGTGCTAGCCCACTGAGATACCATGCCACAGTGAAGAATGAATACCCCACTCAGACACATTATACTGACTCCGAGCCGACCAGTCCTTGTTGTACCCATTAATGCCGAGCGCCAGGCAAGGACCAACAAGTACCATATTTTAACGTCACTTGGTATGACGCGGTCGGGGATCGAACCCGCGACCTTCCGCTCTCGGGGGCGGACGCTCTAACCACTACACCACGGAGGCGGTCTGTCCCACCTGAGTGAGAGGAGGAGATATATAGAACATTGTGGAGTACTATAAAACGACACAATAACTCAGCACAAGCTGCTGGGTACTAATTCCTAATGACTATCCCTTTTAGGTAATATTTAACACATTGCTCCCAATCAACTCTCTTGCTTGGAAAACCTTCAAACACCGAATTTAAAAAAGCTTACCTGTAAATTTAGTTGTCTCAGAACAAGAGAAAACCTTCTCCTTGGCCCCACAGTGACACCTCAGAGTTGTCTCCCCTTCACATGGGCCACAGTCTCCAGTGTGACAAGGACGCTCACATTTATGAGGGGCATCTGCAGAATTAATAGGTGTAAATACTCAGTGGTTTACAAATGTCATATAAACTTTCCTATTCATCTTTGCAACAATATGTTTGATATTTTTAGGATATTTACCCTAACAGTCACCATAAAACAGAATACACTTAAAACAAGACTTGAAATTCAAATACAGTTACAATACTCTGGTCAAATCAATTCAGATTTCATCAGACTATCCCTGCAGTTCATTATGCAAAAGAGAATTTTGCCTTGCTATGGATTACCATATATTACCATAGATAAGCTGAATTTTGAGGACCAAAAAAAGCAGGGTGAAGAAGGGGGTCGGCTTATCTATGGGTTACACTTTCGTCAATTTTTTTTTCTGGTGGTAAGAAAACCAAATCATATCGTTTCGCGTTAAAGAAAACGACTTTGTCACTAAAGATGTCATATTTGTAATCAAACATCACAAGACAAGATGATGTACCTTTTCAGTTTTCATTTGTTTTTGCTAGGCATCGTCTTATGCAAGGATTAAGATTACCATGTGTATTTGTCCCGTACACAAAGCCGGAAATAGCAATCAGCTGTACACATTTTGAGTCAGTGATCGGGCCACCACGACGAGATGAATGAAGGTTGGTAGTTTGGCTCATGTACGGGACATACCATTTTGATACAGACTTTAATGGTAGGACCTCTGCTTATCTATGACATTGACTTATCTACGGTAATATACGGTAATATTTCATGAGCCAGCTAGCTGGCTCATGAAACGAAGGTCCCACATTATATTTGAACAAAATAATAATGTAATTTTCTGACTAAAATTGATATTTTATACTTATCCTGACTCATGCTAAATGCTTGTCTCCTTCTCCTTGCGAATGATAGTGGAACACTTGAAATCCCTTGAAGTTCCCTTCTAAAAACCGGACATAATATCACCACTCACCCAAGAGTTACCTCCCTTGCCTCCCTTTTGGTCACCTGACCGGCCATGTTTTGTCACTCGCTCCGTATGTATGCCCGACACCCGGATTTACAGGGAAATCCAGAGTGTCATAAGAGGGGAGGTTGGGAGGGCTGACCTCATGAGTCAGGATAAGTATAAAATATCAATTTTAGTCAGAAAATTACATATTTATCCTTATCCTGACTCATGCTAAATGCTTGCAGAATTCGTCAGAATCGGTGGTGGGTCAGGCCACTTCTGGATTCTCTGGCTGCTGTTTTGCGTCCTGTATAACCCCCCATGGGAACTTATGACGGCACTGCTGATGATTCTGTTCTTCCAACTTCCATCTGATGAGTCGGGGGGGGAACCACAACTTGTCAGATTTCTTCCGAAACTTCTCCTGACATTTTGGTGTGGATTTTAGATATACTAATGTTCCATTAGTTATCTATTGCAACTCCATCTCTTGATGCGCGCATCAAGTGGAGATGCGACCCTTCTTCATGTACGAGGATGTCCTATACAAGTACAGGGTCTATCACTCATGCTAGTCTGTCCTTGACGTGTGCATGGACTTTAATCATTTGCTCTCCAGAGCGTTGGTTTTCACAAGTCACGTGATAAAAGGGTGATATTTTCCCAGCGCCTTTGTAGATCCATTAGTTGTTGTGCTACAACAAGTGGCCCAAACTGGTGAATGCCTGAGGCGTCTTCGGTGGCAATGTCTCTGAGGTAGTGGTTGGCAAACACCATTTCTGATTTCCAAAAGCAGCCCTCCATTATTGTTGTAATCGAGCAGTTTCCATGCAGAGCAAGTGTAGACGCCAGGGCTCTGACTTCGTAAGGATTGGAGGCACGTGGAGGCTCAAGTCCTGCTGCTTTGTAGGCCCTTAGTATAACTGCTCTCATCCATATCGATATCGTTGTCCGTGAGACTTCCGTGGGCGTCTCAGTGGATAAGGGGATGAATGGGCGCTTGAATTTTTGTCTCCTTGTTTTTGTCCTTTGTAGGTAGACTTTTAGTGCTCTGACAGGGCATAAGGATAGACTGTAGAGAGTGCTGGGATGTGAAACTGTCTGTCAGGCTGGCCGGGCAGTTGGTTCTTAGCAATAAAATCCCATTTCAGTCCTAGATGTACGATGTCACGATGTCTTGATTCAAATCGTGTTCGTTCAAAGTCCAGAGCATGAATTTTTGACATCCGTGCTGCTGTTGCTAAGGCGATCAGGAACAGCGTCAGTAGTTCAAAGTAGTTCAAAGGATGTCCGTTCTAGAGGCTCGTAGGCATCACTGGTGAGATGTTGTAGAACTATGTTGAGATCCCAGGCAGGAGCCTTGAATTTCTTTTGTTGGTCTTCCAACTCGAAAGAGCGTAGTAGTGCCAGTATCTCTGGTACTTTGGTCAGCATGACACCCGGTTTCCAGGTGATAACGTTGAGAGTGTTGAACCTTTTAAGTGTCTCGTCTGTCGCAGATGACACAGGTATTCCGCCACTTGAGGATGGGTTGCTTTTACCACTGTACAGCCTTTCCTCATTGCATACTGTTCAAATCTCTGCCACTTCTCATCGTTGCGAGTTGATCCGCGTAGAGCTATTGTTACTGCTTTCGCTGCTCTGGCGGAGTACCCTCTAGTCTTCAGGCAAGCCTTGATACGCTACACGTGTGTAGCTGGAACAATGCCGGATTCCCATGAGCTTGCTTGGTGTGTGGATGGACGAGCAGGTTCGACCACTCTGGTAGTTTCAGGGTTGGACTTCCGAGTTCTTGTATGAGGTACCCTCGCTGGCCAAAAGGGCGTGACCAAAATCAGTTGCAGCGTTGTCGTCTGCTTGATTTTCTGTATTACTTGTGGTAGTAGTGCTGGAGGTGGAAACGCATAAGCGCTTAGTCCTTCCCATGAGATGCTTAAAGCGTCTGTTGCCCATGCCTGAGATCCTATTGTCCGTATGACGAACCGGAACGCTTCTGGGTGTAACATCCACTCTGTCGGGGATGGTTGTAGTAGACATCTCCCGCTCTGTGTGAAGATCTGTATGACGAATTGCGCCTCGGTGAACGATCCCGATGTGATCGTGTATCCTTCCTGGAGTCTTGAGATCTCTCTCTAGGCCTTCGTGAAGGTTGATTCTTAGACGTAGTTTCCCTCTGTAAGATGTGGAGTGCCTGCGTTCACGTTCTCGATGTGCGTCTGAGTCCAATGGTGATGATGACCTGTATCTACGACGTCTGTAGGGTTCGGGAGAATGCTTCAATCTGCTTCTGCATGGAGAATTCTTAGCGGTTCCTTCAGGGACGTCAAAGACTGAGCTGACGTTGGTAGCGTTGTCCAGGCTCCTAACTTCAGTTGGGGAAGATCGTCGGGTGCGTGAGCCTTCACGCAGGCTTCCCTCTTCTTCCAAGTGCATTAGAGAGACTGCTGAATCTTCACGCAGGCTACTAGTCATCATAGTGGTCTTCGTAGCAGCTTTCTCCTGCACGAAGCAACGTTCCATCATCGACATCATCTTGGGCGAAAGGGGGAGAGTGACAAGTAAGGCTGGTCATATGACTGTTTACGCGGGAAAAGGGAGGTAACTCGTGGGTGAGTGTATTTTTACGTCCGCCTCGGGAACTTCAAAGGATTCAAGTGTTCCACTACTATTCGCAAGGAAAAGGGAGATAAGCAAAAGATCATGAGTCAGGATAAGAAAAAATAATAAATACTTCAACTTTACCTTTTGGGCCGCAAGTCAGAGGCTTTGAGCATACTTTATCACAGACAGGGATGGGGTCAGCACAGCTTGAGCGCTGACCGTCAGGGAGGTCAGTAAGGAGAGTCTGGCCACACTGGCAGTGTGTGACAATATCTGGGAGGAGGGGGCACCTGCCACACTCCCCAGGGTGACACGGCTGTTCACATGTGTGAGTGCCACACTTGAGGGCCCTGGGGACACAAGGACCATTGGTCAGGACAATCAGCAAAACAAGTCAAGTGCAAAATTGGTTTCACCTGAAGTGTTCATAAAATCTAAAAGCATAACATCATTTTTGTTTTTTGTTGTAGAAGTCACAATCTGCAATATCCCAGCTAAATGACAGAGGTCTCTAATTGACTGAGTCTGGACCAAACGAATAAAATGATTAACATCGTGTGTATCAATCAAAGCAAGGGGTATACGACATGCATAAATCACTTGATACAAAAAGTTGCCTGTTATTATAATCATGGGTTGCTAACGAACAATTCAAATGGACTGACTGACTGACTGACTGAGTTTGGTTTTACGCTGCTTTTAGCAATATTCCAGCAACATCACGGCGGGGGACACCAGAAATGGGCTTCACACATTGTATCCATGTGGGGAATTCAAATGGAGGTTCTTGATTATCAATCAAGCTTAACCTTTGCTATTTCATATCTCTCAAACCTGCATCTTTATAGTGTAAACAACATATAATTTAAATTTCTTTAGAACTGCGATCTTACCCATTTTAGCACTTACATATTTATACAAAAGTAATGTGGTTAAATAATGTCATTATGATTAGTAAACAATTCTACAATACAAAATGGACAACTTGAACTTTTTTTCTGGAAACTGAAACACCTACTAAGGCCAAATAAAAAAAATGTTGTGGTTCCGATTACAACTCTTTAAAATTTAGGGTAGGTAAGTAGGATCTTGATTTTTTACATTTTTTTTGGAAGAAGTAAGCTTGCAGCCATCATGTCAAGTTTCTCTATCAGAATGATCGATGTCCGTCTGTGCCAGGAAAAAACAATGTTATCTGAATGCATATTTTATTCATACCGCTAAAAAAATAGGATCGGCACCAGAATTCAATGGTCGGTCGGGTAATAGGAACCACAACATTGTTTTTTAAGGCCAAATAAATAACCATCTCTCAACACACAGTAATGGTAACTGACATGAATACTGGGAAATGATAAACATGATTTTCCAAGATCAAGATCTTTATGTTGCAAAAGAAAACTGCAATATTTTGTTTTATATTGCTGTCGGCTTTGATCTTGCCTCTGGCCATGACTACATATATCTTGGTTGGAGAAAACATAGTTTGGTCTCAGATGTATATTCATGACAAGCTCCATGCACTTACCGTCTACATTCCTCATCACAGGAGTAGGACACCTCTCTTGACTCATCACTGCCACAGAGTACTGTCCTCTGACTATGGTCGCCATAACACCCTGTAACATACAGGTAGGTCAGTGAGTCAGCTCATGGTTCATACAAACCTTAAAACTCCAAATTCAAGGTAATCTCAACACCTTTTCAAGTCCATGACTTAAGTGAGTGAGTGAGTTTAGTTTTATGCCGCACTCAGCAATATTCCAGCTATGTGGCGGCGGTCTGTAAGAAATCGAGTCTGGACCAGACAATCAACAGCATGAGCATCAACCTGCTCAATTGGGAATCGATGACATGTGTCAGCTAAGCCAACGAGCATGACCACTCGATCCCGTTAGTCGCCTCTTATGACAAGCATGGGCTGAAGGTTCATTCTAACCCGGACCTACACTGGTTCCATGACATAAACTTTTAAACCTAAAAGTAAAATCAAGCGTATTTGTTTTTCTGTTGTTTGACGCCAAACAATCCAGAGATCCAAACAATCCAGTGATCAACAGCATGAGCATTGATTTACACATTTGGGATAAGATGACTTGTATCAACTAAGTCAACCACCCAATCTTCTTACGACAAGTTTGGGTTTTATGAAGACACTCACTATATTTGGTAACTGACTGATTTTTTTGCAAGATGTCTTTGTTAACTGCATTAACAAATATAATCAAACTATTATTTACTATTTCAAAAGAAGATACTTAAATGATTTACATTCTCATTCCCATCCTCATATTACAGTTCAATACATTTCATACAGTGATGTTCACATAGAAAAAAAAAAAAAAAAAAAGAAAAAAAAAAAAGTGTAAGGAAACCCAGGCCTTCAGAGTGATAAATGGACAGTTCAGCCATATTGAGATCCAAATGTTCCAGATCAGAGCTACATCAACATACCCTGTGTGACTTTCTCCTCACAAGCGTGGCAGTCTCCCTTGTGGCACACCTTCTGGCAGTCATGTTTGCCACAGTTGAGGGACTTGCCACAGACAGCCTCGCACTTGTAGCTGGTGTCGTGACCACACCGCACCAGATTTCTGGACACAACGAATAATGGCTTTATGTAATCACATGGAAATCTACAGTCAGACTAGGTCATTAGCAGGGCAAGGAAAATCATAGAGAATATCACCAGAGTATATTTTAATATCAAATACATCAACTCGAGTCAATAAAAGTTTAAGACTTTGAGTGAGTGAGTGAGTGAGTTTAGTTTTACGCCGCACTCAGCAATATTCCAGCTATATGCGGCGGTCTGTAAATAATCGAGTCTGGACCAGACAATCCAGTGATCAACAGCATGAGCATCGATCTGCGCCATTGGGAACCGATGACATGCGTCAACCAAGCCAGCAAGCCTGACCGACCCGATCCCATTAGTAGACTCTTAGGACAAGCATGGGTTACCGAAGATCAATATTCTAACCCGGATCTTCACAGGTTTTAAGACTCTGAGGCTCACTGAGGTGTTTCAAGTTTTAGCCGATATGTTCGATAAAAAAAAATAAGGTGGCATGTGTATTAACGATCCTTGATAGCTTTTTCAACTTTTTCTGTTCATAAACAGTAATAACCAGTGCTTACATGTGAACTCAAGAACTACCAGATTCAGTTGCAACACAATCCCCATTTTGGTCAAGCATAAAATACTGGGGAACTATAGGATCTTCTGCTAGCTGAGATGAAGCAACTTTAGATGATAATTCTTTTGTATTTCAGTGTCCTTACTTTGATTTTCCACAATCACAGGTTCTGTTGACAGTAGCACTGCATGGCGGGCATGGTCCTGGGTGGCAGAGCCTGAGGGGTGGAAACAGACAGTGGGAATGATGCTGAGAACTTGGCACATGATGCATAACAATGTCAATACTGTTTCCCAGAAGCTGAATTATGAAACAAATTATGCTGAACAAGTACTTTTCCTCTGGTTGTTTGCTTTATATGTCGTTTTGCATTATATGTCTTTTAAAAGTGTATTTGATGCTAATCTTAAGGCATAAGCCACATAATGAGTGAGTATGGTTTTATGCTGCTTTTAGCAATATTCCAGCAACATCATGGCGGGGACACAAGAAATGAACTTCACACATTGTACCCATATGGGATATCTAATCCGGGCCTTCAGCATGACGAGCGAATGCTTTAACCACTTGGCTACCCCACTGTCTCAAAAGGCACAAAGAGAATTTAATGGCGAAGGAAGTGAAGAGACGTAACTCTACTCACAAAGTACAAGGGCAGTGAAGAGACGTAACTCTACTCACAAAGTACAAGGGCTGTGAGGGGACATATCTCTATTCACAAAGCACAACGGCTGTCAGGGGACATAACTCTATTCACAAAGCACAACGGCTGTCAGGGGACATAACTCTATTCACAAAGCACAACGGCTGTGAGGGGACATAATTCTATTCTCAAAGCAAAAGGGCAGTGAGGGGACATAACTCTAATCACAAAGGACAAGGGCAATAAAGGGAAATAACTCTACCTACTTACCTACAAGGGCAGTGAAGGGACATAACTCTACTGAAAAGTACCACATTGAACAATGGCAGTCAAAAACATACAAACTTGTTTTCCATAAAGTTTGTCTATCAAGTACTTCCCAGCTTCTAAAATGCCACTCAGAGAAGTTAATAGCAGTGAAGTCTACTCACAAAGTACAAGGATGAGGACAATCCCCCTTCCTCTTCTTGTGACACACCTCCCCACAGCTGTGAGGAGTCTCATACTGACTGTATGCTGGGTCTCGCACCTTTCCTGGAACATACAATCTCTGTTATATTGCACAGTAGCAGTAGTAGTGGTTAGGCACGATTTCCCAAACATTTTGACAAGAAAGGGACGAGCATGCATTTACCTCTGTAGCAATGGTTCTGATTCAGCACTTTCTCCATGAAGTTCTGGCAAGCACAACATCCTCACACATTTACCACAGTAGGAGCAATACAGGCTTGGCACCTGTTCTTTGACATTTTTACAAGAGGGGCACCTGCACACAATCACCACTGTAGCAGTGGTTCTGGTTGGACACTTTCTCCATGATGTTATGACAAAGACGAAACCTGCACACACTTACCACAGTAGCAGCGGTACTGGTTAGGCACTTTTTCTGTGACATTCTGGCAAGCCGGACACCTCCAGCCTGTAACACTGCCTGAAAGATTGAAACAAGAGAGGGGTATGAACAACATTTCAATGATGTATTAGTTCTAGTTCTGTTGAAAAATTATCTTGAGCCCTGAATATGCATTGAAGCATAGTCGTTACAAATATCCTGTCAAATATATTGTAAAAATATAACAAACTTGCATTGATCAGTAACGCTAAACGTATTGTCTAGTATTTTCTAGTGTAAACAAACAAATAAATAGACAAGATAATATAATCCATCTGTAACATTGATCAGTAATCAGTGAACTACTTGTTTCTATCAACTCTTGCTTCGCCTCGAGAAGCTATGTCACCGAAGGTTCTTTCTTTTGAAAATGACATCACCATTCCAACTTTTTGCAGCTTACACCTTCTTACAGTTTCTCACCGTCTCTCTCTGTGACAGTGGATGTTCGTGCCCACTTCTTGATGCAGTGAAGATGGAAGACATGGAAACAGTTGCCGCAGCCCCAGATGGCGTGTTCACATCGCACATTGTCATAGCACACCATACACTCATACTTGCCGCGGGACAGCTGGTCCAACAGCGATCCTGGTCAACAGAAAATATTCATTTATGATTTACCAAAGTTACATATAAAACAGAACAACTTCTACAACAGCTGTTATTTTTTGTTTTCTCATACCACACTATGCCATATTCTGGAGTGAGTGAGTGAGTATGGTTTTACACCTTTATAGCAATATTCCAGCCACACCACGGCGGGGGACACCAGAAACGGGCTTCAAACATTGTACCCATGTGGGTAATTGAAGAAGGGCCTTCGACGTGACGAGCGGACCCTTTAACAACTAGGCTACCCAAATGCCCAGAATATATTCCAGAAGCAGGTAGGGGTGGTGGGGTAGCCTAGTGGTTAAAGCATTCGCTCATCATGCTGCAGACCCAGGTTTCATTCCCATCATGGGTACAATGTGTCAAGCCCATTTCTGGTGTCCCCTGCCATGACATTCCTGGAATATTGCTGTGGCACCCTTTGAAAATATTGCATTTCTATTCCTGCTGTGAATTTGATACAATATGTAATGTAGTTTTCCCAAGCTCCAGTGTTCATACATTCATAATCAAAGTTTATCCTTTACTGATGACAAAGACATAAAACAGCTATTTCTTCTTACCTCTCTGTGTTTCATCCTTGACCTTCTCTATGCGGTGACCTTGCCCTCTCCTTACACCTGACTGTCCGACCCCTTCTCTCCTGTCATCACGTCTGTTCTTGTCGCTGGACCTTGGTTGACTGCCTGCGCTCCTCGCTTCATCAGTCCTGTCTGTGACTGGAGAAGCCCTACCCCTGTCCTCATTCGATCTTCCCCTCCCACTGTAGTTATACTGCTTCCGTTTCCCCCCACGATCACCCCCATATCTTGGACGGCTTGAGTTTCCATCTCTTGCACTCCCTGAGGTAGAACTGTTGTACTCTACACTTCTACTTTGTCCCTGGTTGGGCTGTTGTGCCGAACCGTTACTTAGTTGAGTCGCCTCTGATAAACTTGCACCAGAATTAGCTTCGTAATATTGCTGATCGGACAAATTTTGGTTATAATAAACTTGGTTTTGTCCATAATAGTTCTGGTTATGATAATATGACCCCCTCCCTCTTGCAATTTGTCCCCCTCCACCACGCCCCCTGGGACGATTCTGCCTGTAGGAATGGGAGGGTATCGACTGTTCCTGTACCCACTGTGCATCCTGGTATTGATACTGTGGGTACTGCTGGGCGTACACAGCCTGTTGAGGGTATGCTTGTTGGTAGTCGTACGTGTAGTAGTACTGACCGTTATAGGGGTTAAAGTATGCCTGGCTGGCACCTGCAGCGTTGCCAGGGTCGCTGTAGCCGTAGTCACTGTAGCTGTTTTGGCTGTAACTCATACTTGATTCTTGAATCTCAACTTGTGTCTTTTTCGCAGATATTTTCGTTTGTCTCCTCCTGGAAAGAAAACTATGCAAATAGGACACTAACTTCATATCTCAGGTGGTTCCTGGGGGGATGGGGTAGCCTGGTGGTTAAAGCTTTCACTTGTCACGCCAAAGATCTGGGTTCGATTCCACATGTGGGTACAATGTGTCAAGCCCATTGCTGGAATATTGGTAAAAGTAACCAAAACTTAACTCTCATTCCTAGGAGGATTCCAGTTTCCATCTTTTTCAAGATGTTATTTACTGAATACAGGTACAGATATCAAAGGTGCATGGTTTTTCAGTATTAGGGTTAATTCTTTCCATGATGTACATAGCAATAAGATTTCTGAATGCTCAGTATATTGGGTTATTTCAAATAGTGATTTTTATCCTGTGGTTAATGTTATACACTTGCCAAACACCTTCGAAATATTCCTGTAATTCCTGAGTGGAAGTCGGCAAAGATATGAAGTTAATTCTCATTCCTACATTTCCATCAACAACATCACAACACATTACGATACATTTTGAACCTCCAATACAAAATCTTGACTAACATTACTGGTCTAGTCATTTGCAGTCAGCAAAGAGATAATGAATCCCAAAGAGCTAGCGGTGGGTATGGATGATTTTATGCTGCTTTTATCAATATTACTGTAATATCATGTTCCTTTGTTTAAGAGCGCCACACTCAGCAATATTCCAGCTATATGACTGCGGTCTGTAAATAATCAAGGTTGAACGCATGGTCCATAGAGGTTAAACCTGTTAATCCTGCAAGCAAGCTGACATGGCAGGGGGTCATTTGTCAGATATTACATATTACCTCTGTTCTCTCAACAGTGAATGGGTAGCCTGTGTGGTAAGTCATATGACTGTTAACCTTTTAGGCAGCTTGGGTTCTCCAGGGTGATAATGCATTTACTTAAAATATTGTTTTGATTATAATGGTGACTGACACACATTTCATCTCAGTGACATCGGAAAGGTTATTAACTTCATGAGATTAACACTGATGAGTACTTATTCGTTTAAATGTATTGAAAAATGTTGTTAAGAATGTTGTTTTCACAAGTCACATTGCAGTGACAGGAAATCACTTTTGGCTGAACTATTTCGGTAACAAGTTTATATTTCAACAAAGTTCACTTCACCATTAAGCATGAAAACCATATGAACGATTGGTTACAAGAATGACAGACACTTTACCAGCGTTTTCACACTGGGTAAATTTCGGCGTCTGGTTGTCGGTGTCGGGCTACCGTGAGACGTCTGTATCACACATACTGAAGAATATCTTCTGGTTTTGAGTTTGACACCTGCTTTGAAAACATAGTTTCGTAAAAGAAGGACTTTTACTGTTGGCAGACACATCATAATCAATAAGAAAATCCGGTATTAACAATGCCGGTATGTTCACGTCGGTCAAAGGTTAGGTTTCCCTGAGATGTTATCCAAAATAACCTGACGACAGAATAACACGATTTCCCATCAACTGTCAGAAAGTGTAAGGCTTCTCACCAATTAAACGAGACACTCGACTTTCTGGCAATAGTTCAAGAATGTTGTTCTGTGGCTGCGACTTTCAGAATTGTGTGTGTCAGTAATATTGTGCTGTTAAATACTTTGTGATTTCCTACTCAATACCTGCTTCCGTGGTGCAATATGCTTGTGAAGCAACAATAGAGTTACGTCCCTTGTATAATATTTGCCACATATACTATTCTCTTAAAAACAAATTGTAATAGAACTGTCGGTCGCTTTGAACATTTTGAATGAAAATATATTATTGAATGTGTCGCATTCTGTACACCAAATAACATTATTTCCTTGTCAGTGTCACATACAAACCGATAAACAACTCATGAAATTACATATCTAGGCAATATTTATATCACTGAAAAGTTTGCATTATATAATGATAAATGTTACATTCTGCAAATGTTAAAAAGATGTTTAAAGTTAGGGAAGATACTTGAAGAAGATTACATAACATATGTTATATATAAACTAAATACATATTTTCAGATGGATTCAGAATGCATTTTTATTAGGAACAAATAATTTTATGTGAAACTCCCTGGATTATTTTTGTTAAATAGCAAAATATTTACAAAGACTACATTTGTTCAATCAAGTTGTCCAAACGGCACCCAATTTGCAAGGTTAATACGGGACTGTAACCACCATGACAGAAGGTCTTAATACTGAGAAGGACATTTCTGTACTTACTATGTATTATATTCTGTTCTAATAAAGAAGGCAGTATTATACAAAAAAATCATATGATTAGTTATTGACAATTCGGGCCGATAAGCCCCGCCCACTTCTGTTTTGACGTTAGGGGACAACCACTAAAATCACAATGGCGTCACTGCCGGCGAAACGTTACGTGATTGCGAACGTTGTTGATGAATTCTGCTTGTGATACTTTGGTATCCGTCGTTTGTGAATGTTATTTAAAGAGTGCGCGTTATAGAATGTATATATATTTTTAGCTGGCAGATTGCAAATGGCGAGTGAAAATGTGAGTTACATGCCAGATGAAAACCGTCTCAGACTAGCTGCTGAGATCAGGAAGCGTAATTTCTTTCGAATCAATCAATTAATCTATCTGGCAATTCACCTCCAGCTCAGATAATACATATTAGCAGGGGAAGGATAACTGAATTTTGTTGTTTGGGTTTATACTCTTTAAAAACTCGTGAATAATAACCACTTGCTCATGTTGCAGATCTTTCGGTATCTATACAATAGATTATCAACACTGCGCGTGGCGCTGTTCAAATTTGCAGTAGTTCAATAATCTGGAAAATACGGGTTTTTATCTTTAATGAATTAAGAGAATGGTAAATAAAAGCAGAAAAATATTTCCCGTCTACTACTTCATGCCCTTATTTGTCTGTATAATTAATGTAAACAAATCAATCACAGCATATAATCTATTAGATCTAATTTGGAAATCTGAAAAGGTAATTGAGCTTGTAAACAATATGTTTCCATGGAGGTATTCCGACATAGCCTAGAAGCAAATATTCAACAGCTGATCTCTCAGCACCTCTCGCAAAGTTTCTCTCTTCAAAAATCTGTACACCATGATAAAATGACATCGAATACAAGGAAATCATTTTAATCATCATTTCCATTTATTTTTCTATATGTACTTTGTTGTGGAATCCTAATTTTACATACAAATCTCCATAATACTGGACTTCATGAACTGCCAGTGTTTATGTACAGGTATGTCACAGCACCAGAACACAAAGAAGATCCAAGATACAGTCTGCACCTGTACACTAGCTGGACCCATCTTCCAGAAATAGAAACGTGTGAGGTAAATGGAACAGAGAATCCACAGTTATCCGAACAATTAACTTAGCATTGAAATAGAATGGTACACAAAATACAAATGTAGATCTATTGTTTTTTCATCAGAGATGTTTAACTGCTAACTACTAGTGTAGAATAAGGTGCAAAGAATATATCTTATGTTCAAGTTTTCCTCTTCTGTCAATACATAATTACATATTGACATTATTGCTTCTAATTGAACAATGATAATCTTTTGTTTTATTAGATCCGAGATTACATCCCTAGAGTGACATAACACTGATTTTGATCTATATTTCCTTTTCTGAGATAATACTTACTGGTATGTCATAAAATTATAGTAAAGTTGATTCAAAAATTTGGTAAAAGTCATAACAAAGGTTTAGGGAAAACAGACATGAAAAATGTTGTCCTGAAGCGTTCACCTACGCTACAAACTATTAGTGTAATTTAGTATGAAGCCTATTTTGCAAATAATCATCAACAAAACCCTTGAACACCTTGTCCACATCCACCATCTTAATAAACACACTAGCTTTGGCTCTGTCTTCTTGCCATTAGTAACCTTCTAAAAACCTTATATGATTTATCAGAAGAATTAATATAATTTCAAATATGGGTTAAAATATATGTTTCCAATCTTTATTCCGTTACATGAAAAGTCACCTGTGATTTTTGTAAGTTATTCTGTTCCAGACTGGATAATGCCTGACTAGGGGTTTGATCAAAACGTAGCGTTTGTTTTTCTTAAATTTTCTGGATGTTGAAATAATCTTAATGAGTTATGATACTAGCAATCACTGTCAGAATTATCTTATTAGTAAACGTAGTGCATTTTAAAAACATTTAAAAGCTATGGTTTTTCGTTAATACTAAGTGATTGTCCTGCTATGATATGTATGGTGTTTGTTTGCCTAGTTCTGCCCTTTAAAAATCTAAAAAAAATCTGATATGTCAAACTCAATTCAACAATTATTTATTATTGATTATTGATTAGATTATTATTACCTTCCATTACCCTTCCGCGTTTGCCAAGCAAAAAAAAAAAAAAAGCAAGATTCTTAAAACATACCTTGCTATCATTTCCAGTGAATTAATCAAAAATTACAGTTGTAATATTAATCTTTAAAATGTACCATTATATGTGAATAATTTATGTGGCAACAAAACTTCAAATACTGCAGTAATGTACTCATAATTAAGATATACACTTTTATTTCACTCCGTCCAATACTCCAGAAAGTCACTATTCTCCGCATAGTTTTCGTATTCAATCAACATGGAGGAAGGTAATCCAGCCTCAAAGTCCTATGCAACCCTTTATGTAAAAATCTGGAAATATTTAAAGCATGGTTTTATAGGCACTCCATAAGGAATCTACTTCTTGATACTCTTGGATATTGTATGATAGGCAACTGCTGACATACTGGACAATATTTCCGTTTGAATAAAAAATATTACATTCTAATATTTTGCTCTGTTAACAAGATACCGTAGGCCTTCAGATTGTGCTTTATAAAACTTAAAACATCCTAAAATGTGTGACAACTTGAAGAATATCTAAGAGCGAAGGGGACAATATCCGCCACATTGTTCTTTCATGTATGTAAGCCTTTTGCTATTTCGGGTCAATCCTAACTGAAATAAAGATTTGTTTACATTTTCAGTTACGGCTTTCGCTCTGTCTCATTTGGAGCTTTATGGCGTACCAACTCAATGCCTAGAAGTGACTAAAACGTTAAGCAAAAATAATTTTGTAGTTATAAGAATTGTCCGTGTTTATAACACTTGCAAAGTCTTAAACTGCTATTTGTTGTCAATAATTGGTAATGATTTTACCATGTGCAAAAGTGTGGAAATTCGTGCAAATTCTCATCAGCAGGCAGACGTAGGTTTCCTGGTAGATGGCAGGCGACATTTAACTGATCGTTAGGCCTATTGCGTTTCTTTTTGATCCGCTCTCCATTTTTGTCATTGTCTTCTTGACCGTAATGGTTTTGTTATGTTACACATCAAATCGCAGCAATATGCAATAAATATCATAGCGAGTGTGTAAAATGGCATAATTCTGTGCCAATATCGCTTTTACGCATCGTTTGACCCCGGAAATAAGTCTGACAAATCCATACTGCGCGCCCGGCCTGCTGATTGGCCAAAATTGACGCATGCGCCAGTTTTGATTGACAGACTGGATCGGTCTATTGTGGAATGTCGCTTGACTACTCAACTTCCTCTGGATGTACTGATCTAAACTTACGCTGGTAGTAGAAATGCAACGTTCATATTGCCCCATATGGTTTACGTTAATGACAGATGTAATTAAAATAATTCAGAGAAGATATTTAATCCGAACGTAAACCGTCATCAAACTGTTATCATTTGTTTTTTTCTGGTAACGTTCGTCTTAACGTTAAAGGCAGACACATCAATAGAACAGCGCCAGTTAGCCCCTGTGCGAGGATTCTTAATTTAGGTCACCGACACCGTCGTTTGTTCTTCGGTTTAAATTAATCGTAATTATCTTTAGAAAGCATTAAATTTGGCATTTTAGAAGAATGAATACTCTTTTCCTACCAGGTATATATGGGGAAGGTGTCGACAATTTTGCCCTGAACTATTGCAGTTAGCTAATGAGGACGCTTGCGTCCGGAGTGCAGTTTAACTTTATAATAGTTCAGGGCAAAAGTGTGTTTTATTACACTATACATGGTGGTAGAGCGAAGTGTATTTCTTAATTAATAGGGCTACCACTTCAACTACATCATGATATGGCTAAAAAACCCGGAATACTTTAAAGTATCATAATTGAAAACGGTAGAAACTTTGTACAAATGATTTTTTCGTTATCTGCACCGGGTATGTTGTTTCTGCATGTTGAATCTCTAGTTTGTGTTATATATTATTTGTTTTTATTGCATATTATTTAAAAAAAAAGATATTTCTCGAAATGTACTCTTAAGGTTTTCCAGTACTCCTATACTGCAAAAATAAGGAGTACGTACTCCTGATGTTGAAAAATTATCTGGAGCCCTGGTCAATGGCAATGAAGAAAATAGGGAAGCTCTTGTGAGTCTTGTAGTGAGATGAAGCTGGGTTTCAGTATCGTGGTCAAGATAAGTGATATCTGGGTGTATACATGCGCATTTGTGTGCGTGTGTGTATAGCTGTTCGTACTAATACCACAGTGCTAGGCCACAGAAATGCGTTGCCGCATATTAAATGGGATATCCTATCCAGATACAGCATGCTGAATCCGAACCGACAGTCCTTATTTTATGTTCGTATATTAACGTTGAACGCCACAGGAACAGGCATCAATTATGTACCATATCATATATATGGTTCAATGGTTCTCGG